ATCACCTTTATAAATATGTTCACAAAAAAAAAAATGCTGACAGGTTCAACAATGATTTTCCCCTCTGTGTATGTTGATGTGATATAATGATGTTCTTTGTGACCCTCCCAAAATGAGAATTTTTTTGCTAATAGTTTGATCATTTTATTTGTATATATTATTAGTGGATTTTATATATATATATATATATATATATATATATATATATATATATACTTAACATTTGGTTTAAATGCTTCACATGAAGTGGTAGCTAGAAATGTTAAAATCACAAACAATTATCTGTTAGAAAAAAAAGCAAACAAAAACAAAACAGATTAGTTATTCCCAAGAGTGGCACCTGTTGCCAATAAATGGTTTAGAGTGATAACACACACACTATTACTCATTATTATTACCACAGACATCAAATCATACCTATTAAAGCTGACAAAAACCTTCAATATTTATTATTTTTCTACATAATTCACACATACATACATTTACAGGAAACTCCTACTGAAAAAGGAGGGGGGAGACCATTTTAGATCTGTGATCATCAGAAAACTATTCCAATGGCAGACCAGGCCATGAATAGTTCACCTTCATGAGAGCTCGCATGTGAAATGAGGGTCATTAACACTTGCGGGCAGAGAGCTTTTGAGTCGCGCACAGAGGGCACCATGTTTGAAGGTCAATGAAGCAGGGGGCTGAATCATTTTCTTACTGGAAAGCAGTGAGTCACACACTCCCACCCCCATTATTCAAGCTTATCCATTGTCAAACCAACAGATGTTTTTGCGTTCATCCTCGATGGCTTGCAGGTTGCATTTCCATTGTCAGATGGAATTTCCTTTAAGTGAATTTTTAGCATTTTTGCATGTTTTGGTAAAACTTATTTTTATACTTATTGTCAATTACTATATCTTTGTTTTATTATGCTGGAAAATAAATAAGCATGCATTGACTTTACTGCTATGGAAGCTAAAGAATATTGCCAAATAAAGTACTTATTTATTTCAGAACATAGGTAATATCTGATTTGTTGACTGAAACATTTTGGTTTAATATCAAATCTTTTTAGTTCATCCGAATGGTGTAAAACCTGGTAAAGATTATGGCAATATTAGTATTATTTGAAGAGATTTTTGTCCTAAACAAATTGCCGGACTGTATTGTGGTTCAAAATTGAGTGCATTTTAAATTTGAATACAAAATAAAATTGTCAAGTCAAAACATTTAGTATTGAATCTAAACAAAATATTACTGAATAGGGTATATGCCGAGCTAGTGCTGTTCCCATGCGGATACACTTCCGGTGACCTGTTATTGTGAACTTTTTACCATTTTATACGGTTCCCTATACAGCATCGATTTTGTAATGTCATTAAAATACATTCAGTTAAATAAACTTTAGCATTTATTTGCTCAAGCGTAAAACGAGACAAAAAGCTGTTTACTCGCACGCGCCCGTCAGAATCGGCAGGCTAACGCAGAAGCTCCATTGAATATACTGGGGTAAAATAAATGCCCATATTATAAAGATATGGCAGGGGAAATGTAATTTAATGCAGTGCTTCTTGTACAATCTGAGACCCACTTTAAATCGGATATCACTCAGCTAGTGTAGATCGCTGATTTTTAAAGAAAACAGACCTTAAACGCACCGGATTTTGCATTGGCATTCAATTCGCCGGAAGTGCTTAACCAACAAATTAAAAGTCCTATTAGCATGCTTCGGCATATACCCCATTCTCTCTTTTAATATAGAAAAACCACTTTGACTGAAGCCACAGAAAAAGCCTGATTTCTACCACATTTTCAAATTTTACCACATTCTCACCCTGTTATTTACTTGTTTATTTTATTTTTTAGCTTTTGTTTTTGTCTTACCTGCTTTCTAGAACTATTCTTCGTCAGACTTGTACCCGTTGTCATGTTCAACTCCTCTCTGCATCTCAAATCCCCTACGTATGTGGTGAGCCACTGGACAAACTGGTAACATCAGGAAAGCTGTCCACACGGAGGTAGCTGGTCAGCTGGTAAGCAAGAAAAGAAACTGTTATATCGCCCCATAGCATGTGTTTTCAAGCTGAAATGCAGCCATACATAGTTGTGGCTACCTAATTCGTGATCTTTAGAAATGTATATAGAGCTACAAGAGCCTATGTTGCAACCTCCACTTGTTTCAAACCTGTTTGAGTTTCTTTCTGTTTAACACAAACAAATATATACAGAAGAATCTTGGGGGGAAACTGCATCCATATATTTTATGCTATGGATGTCAATGGCTGTCCAATGTTCTTCAGAATATATTGTTTTGTGTTAAACAGAAGAAATACATTCATAAAGGTTTAGAACCACTTGAGTGTGAGGAAATGGTGAGGAAATTTTCGTGTTGGGGTGAATTGACTGCCACACACCAGATGGTAAAAAAGTCACATCACTGCTGTTTGCAGAAAAACAGCAAAGGAAACTTTCTTGTGAAGTGTGAGCTGACGTAGATCCGGTTATATAACCCCAACAACATCATCATCACAGGCAGCTATGGTTTAGGGATATATAAACGACTGGAGTTCCCGAAGGGCTCTGTTCTGTTGGTTGAGTCTTTGTGGGTGTAGGCTGAAGATGTGTGTTTGCCATATGTGATAACACGGTCCTTCTGTAGCTGAAGCCCTGCAGGGGCCAGAAGGTGTCAGGGCTTCAGCGCTGTGGGTGGAATTCAACACGGCTTCAGCTTGAAGCGCTATTACTGAGCTCAAGTCAAACTCTCACCATTAGGTGCCTCTTAACGGTGTGGGCGAAGCACATCATTCAGTAAAGGGCCTCGCAGGGGTGAATTATTCTTACAGACACTTTGTAGAGTGGAGCTGGAGAGGTATGGGCTCAAAATGAAATCCACCTACTTATAAAAGAGACTTGCCTACCTCTGCATTGATGTAATTCAGCATTTATATAATACAAAACTCCCACTTAGAGTCGACCACACCCACAGAAATAAAAAATATGATGTTCTGGAAAGAGTGGGAAGGCAATGTTTATCATGGGAATGCAGCACAGGGAACCGTTCGTCCAACCAAAGATGAGAATTTTGAGGCGGGAACTAACTTTTGGACCAGCCATTTGCAGACTGGAAGGGTTTTTTGAGAAACCTGTTTGAAGCTAATAGCTGTTTTCAGACAGACTGCTGCAAGGATGGACAAAACAAACATTTTGAAGAACAAAAAGGCATTTCATCACATCTTGGTTCCCTTGTTCTTACATCATTGGGTTTTGGTTTATGGATTTTACACAAAAATAGATTTTATAAAAGTGAGTTGCTAACAAATGATTAAATGACACTAGGAAGGATTTCAGGAACAATAAACATCAATAAACACATAAATAACTTTCAAATAAAGATTGAAAGAATTGTCTGAAGTTTACAGCCATGGAATCAGAATTGACAATATTCACTTTGTTAAAGCACATTGCTATCCTTAATTAATCTATACAAGTTAATCTACAGGGAGAAAAATGTTTGATCCTGGTCTAAGATGACATTGGAATGCTAATTTGAGAAAACTATCATGACCGGTGATACCCAAAGTAGGTGGGCCAAAGTTTGCCTGTTGTAACCTTTGATTTGGCCCACCATGCCACCTGAGAGGAGAAGTGAGTATGATGGAGAGGGTTGGGGTCAATGCCTTTAACACAGAAATAGTAATTTCCAATTTAATTTATCCTTTCTTGTTAGTTTTATTGCTAATTCAATTAATCAAACGTTAATTACATAGCACCTTATTACAGAAGGCTGCCCAAAGTGCTTTGCAGTCTTAAAAACAAACATTTAAACATTAAAACAAATAAAATTATGAGAACACAAATGTTCATTAAACAATTAAATGATTATTGAATTAAAAGTATTGTTCAAATTAATGTTGTAAATGAATCTGATTTAAAAAAAATGTAAATACTGTCACTCGACAGATAGAGGTCTAGAAGCAAATCAAGGCAAAAACTAGGCATGGGCTGGTATAAGATTCTAACGGTATGATAACCTTGGATAAAAATATAAATATACTTTTCCTAACCGCGGTTTACCTTGAAAACCGTTATCATGCCATGCCTGACAAAAACTAGGGTAATTCTGTTATAAATTAGATTTTGTTTTTATTGTAAGAAGTTTATTATAAAATAAAAAAAAAACTATTAGTTAAAATAAAGCAATATTTATATTCTAGTTCTATATTAGAAATATATATACCCATGTCCACTATATTTACCTTTGGCCCACAACAAGCCTCTATCAAGTTTGTTTTATTGCCCTTTATAAGAAAAAGTTTGTGCACCTCGTGATCATGAAAGTCGTGAGAAAATAATAAACTTTTGTTAACACAGTTATTTCATGCCAAAATAAAAAGCCCAAAAACCAACAAACAAACTAGGCATTTTCATCATAAATTCTTGAGTAACCTGCTGATTGTGTATGTTGTATAACTTTTCATTGGCACTTACCTTGTTATTTTTTTTCTAACAAGCTGTCCTCTGGTCTTATGACAGCAGATGTGAATTTAAACAATTCAAAGTCTAAAGGAATGAAAATTTGTTTTTGAAAACAAATTGTGTCATCGAAATAACCCTCAATATCACATTTTATCCCTTGGCTTATGTCATATTATTATATTTTCCACTGTATATAGTTTGTAGTCATTCACAGAGCTGAAATGAACTAACGCTGCTGTGTATTCTTAAACAAAAACAAATGAAGGGTGTGTACGGACAGCCTCAGCAAACTTGAACCTTCAAAACAACCGTCTGTTTGTGTTTGTCAGCGGTTTGCGCGCGTCTTTGGGGAGTTGATGGACAGCGCTCTGGCCAATAAGATCACTCGGAGATTTCAATTTGTTGCTTCTAACCTCTGATTGGTTAGTCCTGCGTAGTGGGCGAAACCGCATTTTCCGGTTTTCCTTCTTTAATGCTTTCGGTGTTACAGGAATGCGATATTAGTTTCTCATGTTCACGATCTGGATTATTACACACACAATGGAGACCGTCGGTCATCACAAAGTATCCGCTTGCGCTACAACAACAATGAATTGATTATTTGTGTCGCACGCAGAAAGAAAAGATAAGAAGACTATCAGCGACCTTTCATTGTAAGAAAGCAACTTGATCTGTGCTGCGCACGCGATTTGGACGCTTTTTGCTGGACTTCCTTGGATATCCATATCTCAGCTTTCTTTTAAACTCACTGTTTTGATCGCGTGGTAAGTTTACAGCAAGCTTTAAATCACTGTATTTCACAAAAAGTTTATATATGACCGTGTCAGTTAAATATTCGTGCATAACAACTGTTGTGGATAGTTTATGAATGTGTAATTATGCAGTCAAAACAACACAGGTTCTAAAAGTCTTCATTCAAATTGCTTAAAAGACATTTATACTAAGTATGTATTCATATTTAATTGAACGACTGCTTTATAACAGTTGTTCAGGTGTCAGAATGTTTTATGCTTTTATATTCAGGCTGTTTTGTCTGTCTAAACTTGTTTTCGTTTCGCTTGTGTTGCTCATACATGTGTAAGAGTGATTTCACATTGACCATCTGTGATTTTCAGTCTGGTCTGATGAGTCAGTAGTAGTTAGTGAAGGGTAGATTCGTGTAATTACACTGACTTCACCGTCTGTTTACCATCTCCTCACTCATGTTTTCATGAACTAAGGCTATTTTGTGCATTTGTTCTGTAAACTCTCCCGTTTCTTCAGTTATTTCTCACGTAATGTGAGCTGAGAAGTTTGCAGTCACGTTGTTTACGATGCTTCTCTAGAGACGTGTCAACGTGTAAAACAGTAATGTATCCCAACATACTATCCAAAGGTTCCTTACTGTTATCATAGATGAACTTTTAACACACAACATCTTTATTTTATGACATGTTCTCTATAATGGAAAAGGATCCTTGTAGATTTTTTAATATGCTCTTTAATGTGCTCTTATTATTATTATTATTATTATTATTATTATTATTATTATTATTATTATTATTATAATTAAAAGTATGGGGAACCAAAACATGCTTTTCTAAGGCATTACTTTTTTCTATTACCTTTTTTTGTTCTTCCTGGCATCTTTGTTAAAATAAAAGTTAACAAAATGACATTTTATAGTGTTTCTCTAAAGAAAAATTAGTTTTTGTTAGTGTTTAACATTTATCAAATCAAATGATACTAAAGAACCATTATTTTAGATTAAAAAGGAACATTTTCTTAAAAAAATAAAGTTACTTCTCGACATTGCTTGTTTTCTAATTTACATCAAGATCAATAGAGCACTATTACTGGCATTTATGAGTCTATGAGGAACCTTTAATATCAATTGCACAAAAGGTCCATCATAGTGTAAAAAGATTTTTTTATATATATAAATAAATAAATATTTTTTACCCTAGTAAATAATAATAATATCACTTCATTCTTCTCCAAGGAAACCAAAATGGCTTTTCTATAACACTTCTTCCATAAAACCACTAGAGCTTTTATTTTTAAGAGCGTGTAGTATATTATTTTTAAAGAAATAATAATTTTGAATGTTACTGTCTTCCTCAGTCAGCATTCACTTTCATTTAATCTTTTTTCCACACAATGAAAGTGAACTAAGGTTGTCATTCTAGCTGACTTCTCTTTTAATGTAACACAAAGTGACATGAGGATGAGTAAACGATGACAGGGTTATAATTTCTGGCTGAACTGTTCCTTTAATGGATGATGAATAAGCAACAAGGAAAAGCGAGAGATTTGTTCAACAGGGCAGATTCACACGTAAAGTGGTTGGTCAGTGAGTCACTGTTGTCATAGAAACGTTGTTGCCAGTCAAATGAGGTGTTTTTTTTTGTGCTTTTAGAATTTAGACCATTTACTTTGAATGAATAATAAGTCAGAGCGTTTTATTTATGTTTGAGGTGTTTTAAATGAACATTTCCTCCTTTATTTTTAAATGTGTGATTCATTGTAAATGTAGAACTCTGTAAAGGAGATCAGTGGTTCAAGAAAAGACTCCTGCCATTAAACCTGCTTGACCACAGGACTCTTTCTAATCCAATAACAGTGTTTAGAGTTAAGAGTACACCTAGTATGCAGGGGATTTAGAGATTGTAGAGCAGGGAATTTTACTTTTTATGCTACCTTTCACTTTGGCTGGTATATTGTGCTATATTGTGTCAATACAACTTTAACCAAGTGAGAATATTTGTGCCTCGAAATCATCATGAAACCAAAACTGACAGTTTGCTGCATTCATTTTAAAGGATTTATGCATGCACGTTACTTTTTCTTTCATAACTTTTCTGATGAGAAGTTTTATGGCATGAGAGCTGGACAACCTGTCATCGCGGCAAAAGTAAATAACAATCCAATGAATGAATGAACGACATCACGTCATTTTTTTAGTCAGAGAAACTGCTTCAGGCTGATATACCTCATAAAATGAAAGAAATTAGTATCATCATAACCTAAAACATAAAATGGGTTAATGGGATTTAGTTAAACTAGTCAGCAGCATTATCTAGCTGACTGTTTTTGAGCATAGTTTATAATTAGTTAAAAAACAAAAACATATTCCGGGAAAACAGAGTAAATGAATTTATCACTGTTCACTTGTTTAATTGTAATTATTTTAAACAGACAATTATATGTTTCAATTGAAAAGTTTTTTTTAAAATATCATATTTTGCTGTATTTAAATAGCTGTATTTCCTAGTAACATGTAAGAAATGTGATACAGGTACTTTTTTTTATTTGACAACAGTCCAAATGTTTTGTACATGTGCTTGCTTGATCTAGGTCCATTACATAAGTTACTTTTGAATAGTCAAAGCATGTTGTAGATAATGATAAAAATCTGGGGTATTTTCCAGGATGCTAGGACTGCAACAATATGGAAATTTTGGCAATAACTGATAACTTTACATCTTTAAAACTGAAAACCGATATAGTCCAATAAATATACTGATGTAAATTTCTCAAAGGTGATTACAAATATAAAAAGACCTTTAAACACAACTGATAACTGCTCTTTTTTAAAACCTAAAACATGAAAGCTACTAGTAAACATATTGCTTTTTATGATATTTTGTTTACTGAAATCTCATCTTTACTAGCAAACACTCTTCTAATGTATGTGTATTCTGTTGCTTTAAATGTACAGTAAAGTGCTTTAAAATGCTTATTTTTATTCAATGTTTGACATAATCTCAACTGGAACACGAAGAGAGGGTTCCCCTTAAAAAAAAAACAGCTGATAACAGCTGTTTTGCTTTATCACTGCTCTGCCAGTGAAATTGATTAATGTCAAGCACATCAAATGTGAAGTGTTATGAAGGGGGCAGGAAGTATGAGGTGACATGAAAAAAAATTGTTGATCCATTTAGGTGGAATTTTGTCACTGTTTTGGAGCACACTAGCTTATAGATATCCTAAAAACTAACAATATTTATTTTAACATCTATTTCAGGTCAATAATTTAACAAGGACATTAAAATAAACATATCGGCTGATCCTGATTTAGCAGACAATATTTAGTGAAATGTGCATCCTTATGAGATATACAGTAGTGTTTTTTTTTCTTTCTGTTTGTGGTGGCGGAAATGTTCACATGACAAGTCATTTTAAGAATTTTTAAATTCTGTTGTTGCTTCTAAACACAATTTCTTGTCAAATCGAATGAATTAGAGATAGGACTAGCACTAATCGATGACAATTTTCATAGTTATAGTTGACACTTAACAATCTACTCAATATCGGGTTAAAAAGACATTGAGATAATCACTCTGTGATAACAACAGCTGTTTGCATGACTTCTAGCAGCTTCTCAGTGAATATCACATATAATAACATGTTTTTTTCTCCGATCTTGCTTTATAAATTCAGGTAAATATTTGAAATAAATCCTCTTGTGAGATAATTCTGTATTCGTGTGACTATTATTCACACTGAATCAATAAAAGCAGATAAATCTTCTGTTTATAATGCAACGCTAAGTGGATTCTCTGGGTTTCTTCTTCATGGATGTTTGACAATTCCATGTGAGATTGCCCTCTAGCCTTCTGAAGACATTTACTAGTTATCACTGAACAAACATGTGTTTGACAATTGTAGCTTTTGCTCAATCACATTTGTGATTTCATTTTGATTAATCACCCAGCTCTAAAGCCGAGTTCAGACTGCATGATTTTCAAACTAGTCGTGTCACAGATGTGTTCACACTGCATGACTATCTGGGCTAGCGTTTCGTCGCTGCTTTGTTTACACTGCAAGATGGTTCGGCGACATAAACATTCACATTGCATGACTTTACTATAGGGAGAATCGCCGACAACTTCGTCCAAACTACGTCTCACAGCCAAAAACATGTAGTATATCTTTTGTTATTAACTACATAATGAGAAAGAAGCCTTTAAAGGGGTTGAACATGTACATGTTTGCTCACCTGGGTTTAAAGGGAATTAGCCATTTCTCCTCAACGTTGATAATAAACTAATTTCTTTCTGTATGAAACGTCAAACAGACACGGGTGCTCCTGAGTCCTGTAAAACCTCCACTAGTTTTTCCTCCATTTCGTGGGTCCAAATAAACCGAAAAAGAGCGCTTTTAACTTCTCCCCCAGCCTCCCGCTGGCCTGCAGCAGGTATACACACACGCACACTCAAGTGAAAGCTGCTCTCTCATTGGCTGTAGGCGATCGCTGATGTTATTTTCAGTCAAAACTCAATTCACACGGCATGATTTGAATCGCCAACAGCTCCAGATATTTAGCACGCCAAATATCTCACAGGCAAGACTCATCGGCGATTCTCTCAGATCGCGTCTTTGATCGTTCATACTGTGTGATTGTCACTCACGTGCACGAGCACAGATTTGCCTGTGATTTCAGGCATTTGTCGGCGATTTCTCAAAACCTGTGGCGAGCCAAAATCGGGGCTAAAATCACGCAATCTGAACTAGGCATAAGGCCCTGATATACTTCAAGCTATGTTGTATTTTTCATCGTTCAGGGGTAAAAAGAAGATCTAAGCAGCATTGTTCTATTAACAATCAGGGTTTACATCAAAATAAGCCACAAGTAAATGACAATGCTAAAAAACAAGAGTTTAAAATACTTGAAAACAAACTTTATTTTGGCCTGATTTAGTTTGAAATTACATCACTAAGTTTGTTCTTCAATATTTCTGGAAGAATGTAAGGGCTTTCAAACACCACATTAGCAAAATACAGACTGCGTGCATGTGTCCGCATTCATCTGGTGGTGGGTGTTCATTTCACACCTTATTTCGCAGAGATGCTGCCATGCATCTTTCATACCTAATGACTAATGTTTTTTGTCCTCAGGTCCAACATGCCACAAACAACTCCATATTCAAGCAAATTCAATCCAAGTGCTTACAGCAGCAGCCACAGTCACCGGCAGCCTGTGGAGGAGAACTATGGGGGTTTGCACTATCGTGATAATAAGCTTGTTTCTGGCTCTCTGGAAGCCCTCATACAGCTCTTGGTCCCTACAGTAGACTATTACCCTGACGTAAGTATACAGCCTTTATGCTTCCCTGCGATAATTACTATAATCTCTGGCTGGACAGTAAATGTCAAAACTTGACTGACGCTTGAGATCATCTTGTCCTTTTCACAGAGATCCTACATTTTCACTTTCCTGCTAAGCTCTCGCCTCTTTCTGAACCCATTTGAGCTCATGTCTCGGGTTTGTTACCTCGGTGTGGACCATCACAGGGTTGGAGACCCACAAATGGATAAGGTTTGTGCTGAAAAGTGGGCCATATGACATCATAATAGTATCTTTCCTGGAATGGAACAAAGAATGTATTTTATAAGCATGTGGTAATGTCTGTGTTTGGATCCAGCGAATTAAATAAGCGTCACAAATAAAAGGTGCTCGATGGATGCAGACGGAAAGATAAGATTATTCATAACAAATGAATAAGTCTGGCATCAGCGCAAAAACAGCTTTTGCGTTATGTAACACTTTAACAAAATGATTCGAGGGAATCGTCATATATCATTGATATGATTGTTTTCACATTTGAACCATGACAGAAATATGAGATATACACCCCTGTGACAGAGTTGATTCATGGTTTGTCACTGTTAATATGCCAAATTGCCAACAAACAGAAGTGAAACAACACATCTTAAAACTAAATTACTCCCATTAGCATGTAGGCAACATTTCCTGGTTTTCAAATTAATGTAACATTAATGTTAATGTAACATTCGTCAGTGGCTTCCTCATGATATGAGGTCAGCTAGACGTTGACATATTATTGATAACATTATTAAATTGTATGCATTATTTGAAAGAGCTAGTGTATTATTTTTCCATATTACAGAGTGTCTGTGGGGTCTTAAAATGTTTTAAATTTCAAAAAACAAATTTTAGGCCTTAAGAAGTCCTAAATACACTGAAATATTGTGTTTTAGGTCTTAAATCTAATTAATTTTCCTATGTGCATGTAAACCTAAACCCAATTAGACTAACACCTACCCAATCACTAACAAAATATTTCAATAAAAATTTAAGAAACGTTTTTTATTAACTCTATTTACTTATTAATATGGTTTAAATTGGCCTTTAAAAATATTTGCCGTTTTGCCTTCATCATGGTCTTAAAAAGGCCTCAAGTCTTAAATGTGACTTAATGAAACCTGTAGAAACCCTGTATTAGTTGTCTCTTTTTTCTATTCATTGAACAAATACAATAGCCAGTTCAGTTGATTCCAAGAAGTCATATTTTAAAATTGATATTTCAGAATTATTAACTGCTGCATCTTGTGCACACTATGAAAAGTAAAATTGGGGTTTGTGCTTGTGTTAAAAGAAAAGGGTACCATTTTAGAATAAGTCCATTATTTAATGAAAATGTATTTAATAACATTAACTTAGTATGAATAACCTTGTAAAGCATTTATTAATCCTTGTTCAACATTAACTAATACAATAATAAAATCCAAAGTCTTGCTTATTAACATTATGCACTGTAAGTTAACATGAACTAACGTTATTGAACTTAACATTAACGAAGAGAAATAAATACTGTAATAAATGTATTATTAATAATAATAATTCCTTACATTTACATTGAGCTTTTCTAGAGACTCAAAGCTCTTTACACAATGGGGGGAATCTCCTCACCCACCACTAGTGTGCTGCATGACGGCAGCCATATTGCACGAGACGGCACATCACACATCAGCTGATTGGTGAAGAGGAGACAGAATGATGAAGCCAGTTATGATATGGGAATGGTTAGGAGGCCATAATGGACAAAGGCCAGGGGGCAAATTGGGTCAGGATGCCAGGGGTTAAACCCCTAATATTTTTCAAAGGACATTCTGCGATTTTTAATGAACACAGAGAGTCAGGACCTTGGTTTAATGTCTTATCTGAAAGACTGCACACACTGAGCAGTATAGAGTCCGCATCAATATACTGGGGTGTTAGGATCCACACAAACCGCAGGTTGAGCGTCCCCTGCTGGCTTCACTAACACCACTTCCGGCAGTAACCAAGCTTTCCCATGTGGTCTCCCATCCAGGTACTGACCGGGAGCAGCCCTATTAGTAATCGTTTGTTCATGTTAGTAAATACATTAACTAACATTATCTATTAAACCATTTTTTTAATGTGTTACCAAGGAAAGTGTGATTAAATAAGTTTGAAAGAAGCAAGATACTGATAGTACATTTGTTCGCAATTAAAAAATAGCTCAGTATCTAAATTATTAATAATAATTGTGCGTCTGTTATAGTTTTGCTTTTTAATGTTTAAATATGCTGTATCTTGAATCAATCAATCCTATCAATCAATCTGTTTTAGGCTAATAAAACAATGCATTATCGTTCAAGAGTTCACACTTAGCTGATGATTGATAATAAAGCTAGTTTGGCGTGCTGTCCTGGGAGAGAGCCCTGAGCTTATAAGATCCTCGAGCCCTGGGCTCCCTCCCGTTGCAAGGCGAGAGGGGAGTTTGAGCTCAGGTAGATCTCGATGACTCCCCCTCTTGCTTATTGTAGCTAAGTGTCAGATATGGATGCTGAAAGGTGTACTCAGAGTTTAGCTAAAGTATTTGGATTAATTGTTTAGAGTGCTTGTTTTTGAACTGTGAGAGGAAACCGGAGGAACCGGGGAAAACCCACACGACCACTGGGAGAACGAGCAAACTCCGCACAGAAATGCTGTCTGGTTTGGAAAGGAATTAAACCAGGGGCATTCTTCCTGTGAGACAACAGCGCTAATCGCTGGCCACCGTGACGCCCGTTTGAAAGGAGGGAAAGTAGGGTGGAGTGGGAGGGTTTCTTTAAGACGAAGATATTGAGATGAGAAAAGTCTTGTTATTTATAGTGAGTTAAGGATCGTCTGATAGGATAATCAGTCGTTAGCTAAAGTTGGAACAGCTGTGAACAATCATAAGCGCGTGATCCTCTCGAAATTTGTTTATAAATAAGCTTCACTTTTTGTACATAAAATGCCCCCCCAAATTTTGGTGTCATAAATAAAGAGCCAAATTGCATAAAAAGATTTGTTTTTATAAAGTGTTATGCAATTGCCCTATTAGTAACGACAGTATCACATTTCTCTCATAACAGTAATTTTTCACGTTTGTTCAACTTTTAAGTACGATCTTTCCAACATGACTTGAACATGACTCAAGCTGAATCTTGCGGGCCAGATTTGCCCAGCCCTGCTTGTAAACATTAAGCTCAGTGTCTACCAATTGAATTGACTCATTTCTACCCTTGCACATTATATACCATCATGTCGTCCCACATTAAAGTGACTTACACACCTCCTCATGTGTTTTCTTAAAATAAACTCCGCTGCATGATGACAGATGGCAATAAGTAAAGTTTCATTTCGAGAGGATCATGTTTATGATTGCTTGCGGCCGGTCCCGCATTATAGAATTTATGATTCAACTATCAGACGATTCCTAAGCCGCTAAAAGCTCCCTAAGTTCCATATCACAGCCATCTTTGTTTTAAAGAATCCCCCCTTCCACCCCTACTCCTCCTCCATCACTAGATGGGTGGCACGGTGGCCCAGTGGTTAGCACTGTTGCCTCGCAGCAAGAACATCACTGGTTCTAGTCCTTACCAAGCCAGTCAATGTTTTTGTGCGGAGTTTATACATTCTCCCTGTGCTCATGTGGGTTTCCCCTCGGGTACCCGGTTTCCTCCCAACATCCAAAAACATGCAACTTAAGTTATTGACTAATCCAAATCGGCACCATAGACATGCTCCTAGTAAGCAGTTATATCTTAAGGGCTAGTCATTAGCTACTACAGCAGGAGAGTTCTCGAGATCAACCTGAGCTCAAACTCCCCTCTCGACTTGCAACCGGGAGGGAGCCCCGGGCTCGAGGATCTTATGAGCTCAGGGCTCTCTCCCAGGACAGCATGCCAAACAAGCTTTATAATCAATCATCAGCTAAGTGTGAATTCTTGAAAGTATTTTATAGCTATTATCAGCTGACTGTACATGATTCATTAATTGTCCTGCTTACTCAACAGAAAAGAATACGGGATATCGCACCGAAAATCGTGCAGCTGCTAACAGAATGGACAGAGACCTTTCCGTACGACTTCAGGGACGAGCGGATGATGCGCAGCCTCAAAGAAATGACCCATCGCCTTGCCTTCGGTGATGAGGTCAGCAGATATGATGTCGCCCTTATAATCTAGCCATAATATTATGACTGCATCATGTTATTGTTTGTCTTTCTTATTACAATCATGAATAATGGCATATGACTAATTTTAAATTACCAGACAATGACATGACATGGGTTTGGAGCCAAATGCAAATGCTTTTGCATCATATCAGATTTGCATGTAAGCCTTTTGGCTCCAAACGTCTTTGACGTATTTTCCTTTTCGCACAAGCTGGGATATCAACAACACAGCTTGCGGTTACCAAATGTTATTTTTGGCCACAGATGTTAGCGGATATTATAATGCTGACACTGGAAACACTCTTGTTTTTTTTGACCAGCTTTCACGGAGGGCCATGCAGCGACTCATTCAGCGGCTCTTACGCAAGCTGACCACCCTCGGACAGTACGAAGAGTCTCTGGCCACAACCAGCGCCGCTGCCGCCATTGACCGACCGGTCGCCCTGAAGTCAAAGCAGCAGTTAGTGCGCAGAGATGACTGCGTTTTAAACCTTTGCGACGACCCTTTCATTTTCGCCCAGCAGCTGACACACATTGAGATGGTGAGTGAGGACAAACTTCATTTTGATTGGCTGTCAGTGTTAGGGGGAACAACACTGATGAAAACGTTAACTGTATATACAGTTGAAGTCAGAATTATTACCCCCCTGTTTATTTTTTTTACCCAATTTCTGTTTAACGGAGAGATTTTTTTAACACATTTTTTAACATAATAGTTTTAATAACTAATTGATCGATGAAAAGTTTATGATAAACCGCTGAGTTTTACTCAACTGTAGAGGCAGAGTTGCCATCAGAGTCAAATTTTCATACAAAACCTGCATTGAGCTGACTTTATGGCTAACAGCTGAATATAAAGACAGAATGAGCCACTGGTCGAGAGCCTCTATGACTGGATTCACCTCTCCCCCGTGCTACAGTGTGTGTGTGCGCGCAGTGACAGCTCGCGTGCTCGTCATAATCAATATGAATATTCCGATCAAACTGAACACATCTTACATCAGTAACATGACAAGCAACGCTTTGATAATAACAAATAATCAGATTATAAACAACTGTTATGTTTACACATGTTGTAAAATGTGCGGGTCCAGCTGCAGTTTGGGGTGTGTGTGTGAAGCAAAGAGGGAGAGAGAAAGGAGGAGCGGTTTTTGGGCAATGAGACTATTTTAGGTGACTGATATGTTTTACCACATGGAAAGTAATAAATATTTTGGACCAAGTTACATGTATCCTCGTTCATTCACCGTCTACAACTAAAAGAGAAGGCAATTCACCACAAAACTAATACTATTTGGCCCTGGAGTAATAAGTGAATCTCCCCTGCTATCTCTACACAACAAAAAGACGGAGCAGGAAAGGTTTACACATGTAATATTTTCCCTGAGGCGATTTAAAGCAAAATACACAATGACACTCAATCAAACACATCTACAATGATAAGGAACGTGGTTACTTACTGACTTATTAATGTACAGCAATACCACATGAATAAATGACAGACTTTGAAGGAATAAACAGTGTGGGAGAGATCCATTATAGTGCACTGGGCAAGTCTGAACAAGTTCCGCCCACGCGAGCGCGGCACGCAGGTCTGTACAATTACGTAATTTATCGGCTTGAAGATATCGGCCTAATTTAGACATCGCATCGATAACGATAATCTTAAAAATAGCGTTTATCGGCCGATAACGATATGGCCGCAGATATATCGTGCATCCCTACTAATTACCCTAACCTGCCTAGTTAACCTTATAAACATAGTTACGCTTTTAAATGTCACTTTAAGCTGTATAGAAGTGTCTTGAAATATAGCTAGTCAAATATTATTTACTGTTATCATGGCAAAGATAAATCTGTTATTAGAAATGATTTATTAAAACTATTATATTTAGATATGTGTAGAAAAATCTTCTCTCAGTTAAACAGAAATTGGGGGAAAAATAAAAAAGGGGGCTAATAATTCAGGGGGGCTAATAATCCTTACTTCAACTGTATATTCATCAGTTTCTTCTCAGTGTCAGTATAGGCCTCGCACTCTGACTTAGTTTTTTTTTTTTTTTTTTTTTTTTTTGGTGAAAACAGAAAAAAATCTGACAATAGTATGTTAAAAACGTATTAACTCACTGTTGACATTAGGGCTGTGCAATATTGGAAAATCTGACATCGCAATATTTTGTTTTGCTGTGATATTTATTTCAATATAAATATTATTTCACCCGATGATTTAAATAGCTGTATTTAGGAAGATTTCATTAATTTAGATTGACTGAGGTGATCAAGTATTTTTCTATGCAGTGCCTCTGCAGAAAAAATAATAAATTACAAGCAAATATAAATATGACAGCAAAAACAAAAAATAAATAATCAGTGCTTTATGGTTTTCTGTGGAGTCAAATCATATTCAAATACAGAAATTAAAAAAATCTTACATAAAACAAAATGCTTATTATTGTAGAAATAATTTAAGAATTTCATTTGATTCTGCAATGTGGCTGTTGCGAATACATAGATTACGATATAAATGCTTAAACGATATATTGTTCAGCTCTAGTTAACATCTTGTTTGTGGAACTGTTTTATAAACCAGTGCTCGACCGATATTGGATGTTTACCATTGCCACTAATGCCATTTAGATTGTACTAGTCAATAATCAATTAAAGGGATAGTTCACCCTCAGGTTGTTTCAAACCCATGCAAATGTCTTCTGTTGAAAACAAAGGAAGATATCTGGAAGAATGTTAGTAGCCAGAATGTTAGTGCCATAGTTATGATAAATACTATGAGAGTGGCGAGACCTGTTCGGTTACTGGCATACTTATAAATATCTTCCTTTTTGTTTGGCAGAACAAAGACATTTCTACATGTTTAAGACAACCTCAGAATATACATTTTTTGCTTGAGCTGTGCCTATAACTAATAGATAACACTGGCGCTTGAAAACAACAACCAAAATAACAATGCTAAATCATAATAATATTAACTTAAATTAATATATAATATATAATATTAATCTAATAAACGCTATTAATTATATTAATATGTAAAGTAACTAAAACTAGTTAGTTCTCACACCAAATGCATCATAGTGACCAGCTGGATCTAAATTAGTTTTTAGGAGTTGCCACATTAAACTTTTGGGTCCAGCATGTGTGTGTGCTGTAAAAGTTTTAACAGCTTTAGTGCTCACTTAGCCTTTATGACAAAAATCAAGTCAATAACCTGCTGTTCAAACTTTCATGATCAGCTCTGATTAGTCAGCTAAAATTAGTCAGCATCACTCTTGTGATTGGACTTACATACTTATATTTGCGAAAACAGCACTCCTGTGTATATTACGTAATTAAACCCATACCAAAAAGTTTTTTGCTTTCATTCATTATTTTTCTAGTTTGTTTGTTTGTTTTTGTTAGATTTTTTTCCAAAGATGATTGACAAATAGAGCTGTGAACCTACACTAGTCTCACGGTTCGGTTCGGTTACGATTATCATGCCATCGATTCGGTTCAATTCGATATCACGGTGCACTGATGGTGCTTTTATATTTTCTTCACAGCAGCAGCTCTTGTATTAAAATGTATGAATATATTTATATTTATATAGGCTATTATTTGTAATACAATTGTGTCATTTAATACAAACAGTCAGATATATAAACTGTAACTTTTTAAAAAACGAGCATTTAGCAAATAATATAAACAAATATAAACATCCAGCTCAATTTCTGATCCTTGTCTAGTTCTATTACACCTCTTTGATTGGTTACACCCTTACCAAAAACGGTTGCGATTGGCTCTTGCACGCTGCGCTCTTCAGATGAATGATAAGCGGCAGGCGGCGATCTCACAGCTGATCTATGATAGACACGGTGGAGAAAACTCTGCAGACACGTGCTCGTTTCTGTATCCAAAAGTAACGCTGTAAAACAGCAGAGAGGAAAAGAAAAGTCACGCCAGCAGGTCAAATGGGCCACTGTGTGTGTGTGAGAAAGAGAGAGAGACAGAGGCAGAGCAAAAGCGAGCGAGAGAGAGCGAGAGAGAGAGAGATGGGGTAGGCTACTTTCATTCTCAAACACACACAGTGAAATTGTGCACAGTTCATGAGTATTAAGTAGTTAAAGCGTTGTAAATACTCGCGATCGTCTTCCTCGCGACAGAGCGCGTATGAGGTAAATGACGTCAGTAATAACCGGTTATGATTATTACTGAACTGATACCGAATTGTCCGCGTCTGCATCGCGGTGCATTGAAGAAACGATTAATTTTGACACCCCTATTGACAAACTAGTATCACACTATTAATCATATTAGCAAGTTATGTACAATTTGCATTCAGCCCTGAAGCTGCTGTCATGTTTTCCAGGAGCGCCTCAGCTACATTGGCCCTGAAGAATTCGTTCGAGCGTTTGCCCAGAAAAGACCCTCAGATAACCATAAGGTAAGCAGTCATACACCTCTATTTAAAGATTACACAAGTACACTGTAAATAGAATGGACACAGACAGGAAGTTAGTCAGACTATTTCAGTGACAATTGAACTTTTTTCTTCTTCAGAGTTTCTTCAGTAAAAGAAAAGCAAGCAACCTGGAGGCTTATGTCGAATGGTTCAACAGACTGAGCTACCTGACAGCCACAGAAATTTGCATGGTGAGCACACCTTTCATCTATTTTGGGTGCAAACCCAAATAGTGCCTGCAGGCATAAATCTTATCTTTTGTTATTGTCGTCAAAGGCTGTGCAACCACTCTGTCACATACATAATGCTTAATTTACAATGTAAAATCTGCATCCTGAAGCGAAACCCGTTGAAGGAAGAGTTCACTTGAAAAAAAAAAAGTTTTTTTTTTTTTCAACTAGAGCCCTAAGAAACCAGTGGATTTATGATTTAAAGTTTAGTCATTTAGAGCAATTGTTTATGTAAAATAACAAAATAAGATTCTTTGATTCTATGAATTTTTTGACAAAATTGTTTTAATGATTATAAGGGTATGATTTCAGCATTTGATGGAATACCCCTGATGAAAGCATTTATGTTGACCAGTGCGCGTTTTCTAATATAAAAAGATACTAAATGAACTTTATACAATAAAAAAATATATTAACATTTTATTTAAATCCATGCTTAATAAATCAAGATGAACTGAGAGTTTTTTCAGTGGTCTCTTAATATTTTCCATAGCTACAGTTGTGTTTGATCTGCAATCATTGACACTGTTCTGCCCTCTGCTGGTTTGTCTTCAGCCGGTGAAAAAGAAACACAGGGCAAGAGTGCTGGAGTTCTTCATAGATGTGGCACAGGAATGCTTCAACATCGGCAACTTCAACTCATTAATGGCTATCATTAGTGAGTACATGATGAATTATAATGTTATGATGACTTATTTCACAAAAATGATGTTAGCTTTTTAAAATGAAATGTTAGTGTTATATAATACTAATACACGATCATTATTTCACTTAGCTGGAATGAACATGAATCCAGTATCCAGACTGAAGAAAACCTGGGGCAAAGTCAACACAGACAAGTTTGACATCCTGGTGGTAAGAAAGCTTTTACAAGAAAGACGGAAAGATACGTTATGGGGTCAAACCCTCTCGGACCATCTAATTTAAATGGGTCATATTAAGCTTTTTTCTCTTTCTTTAGTGTGTGATGTTGCTGTTTGTAAATGAAAAAGTCTGCAAAGTTACAAAGAACAAATCCACTTATTTTCCATATTCTATGTCAGTATTACTATTTCTATTTACATCATCACTAGCACTGAGATAACAGTAAAATAATTAATGATGCCTACATTTGTAATAAAAATCCCATTTTGAAAGCAACTGCATCCTTCAAATAAAGATTGTTGCAATTAAATCATTGTACAGCAATAGGTGGAATCAGGCATCCATTTAAAATGTATTTGTTACTGAATAATTTAATAGATTTTCCAAAAATGCTGATTAATCCAGTCTTGAAACATATGTAGATTTTGTGAGCTTTTGAATCATTATTCTAAACAGAGATGGTTTTAAAATGCATGCAGGGGTTTTGTTTGATGTTCCCAGAGTAGTCACAGGCTGCAAAGGTTCCGCCCTCTTCTAAAAAGCGGGTGGGGTGCAGCAGCTCATCTGCATTTAAAGAGACCTTAGAAAATAATGTTTTTGCTTTAGACCCAAATTGCCTACAGGATTTAAAACAATAGTAATTTATAGTAAACAATACAGTATTTTAAACCACACTAAAGTGTATTATAATGTATATATTATAGTATTTACTATTATTATAGGAATTTACTACTATAGTTTATTTACTACTATAATTATAATTTACTATTTATAATATTAAAGGGCCATGAAACCCCCTCGTTTCAGCAGGGTGTTTTCACATCTCTACTTTGGAAAAAGTCACAAAAGTGGGTGTGTCCAGCTTTGTTTAGGGGGGAGTGTCGGAGGAAGTAAAGAGGTATGGTGTTGAGTGTCTATTTGGGCGCGCTGACTTTCAGAGTCAAAACACACACCCACACAGGGGACAAAGTGACGATGTTTACATGGACATCTGTAGTCGAATTATTTGCCAAATTATTAAATGGTGGACTTTAACTGCAGTTTGGCTCTTCATTCAGAGAATTAATTTATGTCCCTCGCGACAAACGAAATATTTGATTTAAGGAACTGCTCTAAGCGTGTATTTTTCATGCAATGTTTGATACCGCACGGCGAATGAGAGAAAAAAAAACTCTGCATTTCCCGGAAACTTAGATGCACTCGGCAGGTAGCATCAGAAAGCCGCGCGTGTTATTCCGGTCACTAAATGTGGCGAAAGTCCTATACGAGGTTAAAGTTTGGTTGTGGTGCTAACATGTTTGTACTCGGTGCAATAATTAACTTAGTTCGATACGAACAAACTGAATAAACAAAGAGCACTGGTCGCTCACTTACCAAATCTGTAGAGACAGGACAATCACCAGCAACTAGAGCCGTGTCTTTATTAAGAGGAGACTAAAGGGAATCCGGATCTCAGCATTTGCAGATGAGAACAGCTCTCAGGTAAACAATATTCCTCCTTAGACACGTAAGTTATTGTTGTCGAGCTTCGCGTACACTGTAATCCACTCGTGACTCCAGATGAGCTCTCACAAAGAGAAAATGAAAACAAAACTTAACAGCAGCAAACTATAAAAGCAACTCTTCACGCTTGTTTTGCCAAAACGTGGCGTCTCTGCCGTTTAAACACTGTGACAGTAATGAATATTAATGAAGTTGCACAATGGAGCGCGCTGATTGGTTTGAACCAAGCGTTACTCATGCATTAATGCATCACACTGTAAGACGTAATAAGACACACTCTGGCACAGACGTCCAGTTTGCACGCTGGAATACAACGCTATTATGTCATGACCGTGACGCAGCTTCAAAATTTCGTTTCGAACCGGAAGTCCGAATTTGCTTGAAATAACGCAAAAACAACCAATTTACACTTTTTTGTGAAATATAGGTGTCCTAATAGTGTTTTTAGCAGTGTGGGACACATATACGACTGTCAATAGCTCAAAAAATGTGTTTTGGTGTTTCGTGACCCTTTAACACTTGCTAATACTAATTAGTACTATTTACTAATAACTGATAAAGTGTAATACTTTAGTTTTCACTACAGTAAACAGTGGTGTATTGTAGTATAATTTGTATGCTAACCCAAACAGTGTTGAGTCATTTGCTTTTATTGCTAGTTGTATTAGCATAGCAACAATACATTTACCTCAATAGATTTAGTCAAGTACGTACTGTAGTGTGGTTTTATAACCCTAGCACTTTGTTACTATAGTATTTTTTTTTTCATGTGAATGGGCATTTACAACATCCCTGACATTTCAAGCAGAATATTTAAAAACACATTCTGGAGACCCCTGAGAGATTAGAGGCATAATAGGACCCCTTTAATGTAATAGCGGGTGACAACATTTGTAACTTGAATGTGCAAGGATTTCTATACTTTGTTTTAACTTTAAAAAATTGTGTATAAATGCTTTTTCAAACTGTACAGATTTTGTGTATCTTTATTGTTGATTTATTTCTTTTATCGTAGCACCAAATGGACCCATCTAGCAACTTTTACAGCTACCGCACAGCCCTGCGTGGAGCAACTCAGAGGTCTAGTACAGCACACACAAGCCAAGAAATGGTAACTTTGAGAAAAAAATGTTACAGTTTTTAACTCAAAGTATTACATTTGAATAGCATTTTTAATTAGTATTCAATCTTGTCTTTCAGATTGTTATCCCATTCTTCAGCTTGTTCATTAAAGATATCTACTTCCTTAATGAAGGTTGTGCTAATAGATTATCTAACGGCCACATCAATTTTGAGGTAAGGTGGAACACGATTTTTCATAATGCTAAACTAGTTGTTCCTACTTTCTTCAATGATAATAATAATACTCATTTTCAAACTTTTACTGTAGAAATTTTGGGAGCTGGCCAAGCAAGTGAGCGAGTTTCTGTCGTGGAGGCAGGTGATCTGTCCTTTCGAGAGAGACAGAAAAACACTGCAGTATCTCATCAGCGCACCAGTGTTCAGTGAAGATGGTAAGCACTCGCTTTTTTACTAATTTCAGTGTTTTCACCTGGGATTAACATGAATTCAGCAGCATCATGCTGTGAAAACTTGTGTTTGGATTTAATTGAGATCTTTTCGTCTTTCTTCACCATACACTATGTTGCTTTTGCTGCCGCTCAATGTGTGACAAAGTAGTATTAAGAAGTGGACACACTCTAATAAAGTTACTTATGAGCGCAACCAAATGAGTGCATTGGATGTAGATGAAAAATTTGAATTTTATTGTAAATCTGAGTTTATTGGTGCACTTTCTTATTACATATCTGTCAAATGTTCTGTCCGTGTCAGTATCTGAAGAGTGTACCTATAGATACCTATACATATAGATATATCTATAGATGGTCTTTTGTGGCATTTGAATGCAATGAACCTCATGAAAAAAAGCAATTTAGAAGATTTGGAAGGGATTTTCTGTCAATTATGAATTACACTTTAAAAATTAAAACCAAATTAGCAATTTCGTTATAGAAGCTGCGCTCAAAATATCTGCCGAAATTGAAAATTAAATGATTTTTGTTTTAACGTTTTACTCTGACAATGCATCATTACTGTCAAATTTTAGTTTATAAGTCAACATTTTATCTTCACTGCATTTATGAGGCAAGACTGATTAAAACAAAAAAGAAAACAAAAAAACATTTTGCAAAGCATATTATTACTGCTCACACCGTAGTAGACAAATGCAAATGTACAGTTTAGTCTTCTTATTTTTTTTTTTGACTTAAACTTTATTGTGTTTTTTATAAACATGGTTATCAACAATGGTAATAAACAGAATTTCTCAACATTGACTTGGTTTAATGTGTATAGCATAGTTGATAACAATATGAAACAAAAATAAAAAATTACTAATTATATATGTACACAAGCAAACACATATATTTATGAATATATGCATGTATGCATACAGAAACCTGTAAAAAAATATGAGGAAAGAAAAAAAACTATTTACAGAATGTCAGAGAAGTATATAAATGAATAAAGTGTCTACTAAGATTATTGTAAAACATTAAACAGAAAAAAAGATAGTTTGTTGTCACCTATATCCTGAGACATTTTAATTGTTTCTCCTATGTTGTTGAATTGAATCACTTAAGTTTTAATAATGGAGATCAAATTGTTATGTATTTGGTTCCAATGAAGGATTGTTGAAATCCTTGCTTTGTTAATTAGGGAGTGGACTGTTCTAGTCGAACAATGTCTACAAAATAGTGTAACCATTGCTGAACTGACAGGAGATTAGGAGGGAACCAGGAACTAATGATTGTTTTCTTTGCAGCTGTTAATCCTGAGAAAAAAGTTCGTTTTTGATTCAAAGTCAGGGTTACTGAAGAGTCATCATTCAATAGAAAAAGGCAAGGTTCAGGATTAATGGATATTTCAGTTTAGTCTTCTTTTAAATATCACTTTTTTATTTTTGATTTGATTTTCAAAGTCAACCTGTAAACAAAGCTTATGTTAATCATCAATTATGGGAGGGGCTAATGTATGCAGAAAAAAGTCATACCATAAGGGGAGATGAAAAGGTCTGTAATACTATGGGGAAACCCTTAACGCTAATTTGGTCACACAAAGCACGTCTTAGCCAATCAAATAGCTGCTTTTAGGGCATACTCACACTATGCTTTCAAAACCATGCCCAGGCCCGTTTCCCGGATCGTTTGAGAAGTGTGAGTGCTCTGAATCGGGCTTAGGCACGGTTCACTTGGCCAGCTGGAAAAGGGGTGCCAAAGCCTGGTTCACTTGGGCTTTGGCGCGCTACGCTTGTAGTGTGAGTGCAAAGTATGCCTGAGCCCGAAACTGAAGACGAGACGTGACTTTTACGGGACTGTTTCATATGCGTTTATTAATCATTCTTACTGTTCAATAAACGCAAACTGCCGTAGAATATTAAAGACGCAAACCCCTCACTGCACCTTCAGCAAACCTCCTAATTCTGCAGCACGAGGACTTCATGATTGTAAATGAGCAACAAAAGTGGCTGATCTGTTCGGCGAAATGAATGTGTCACCGCATCCCAAACGACTAAAATGATATAACTAAAGTTAATCTCCACTGTGCTTAGTGACAGTGCTTACTGAACAGTGCATCATCGATGGTGTAAGCGTGCTCAAGCTTGAATCTAATGTAATGTGTAATCATAATGCTTTTTAGGCTAAAGGTTTCAGACTTGCCTTCAGTAGTGTTTGGTTATGCTCAGTAAAGCAGCAGAATTTCACCAACTTGCAAAAGTATCAAACAAAGATGACTTCATTATGCTATTGTAGATAAACTTGTGGCTATCACAACCTCTGACATTACATTGGGTCAAAAATGTTTACATTTTTAGTATTTTGTGACAACCACTTGATGTGATTTGAGAAAAATGCATTCCGATGTTAGGCGTAAACCAGGCTTTAGAGAACTAGATGATAAAAAGAGACCAATCATAAAGATGAACAATATCTAAATTGAGAGTGCAAATACTCTAGGAGTCTGTTCTTCGTACCTCGCTTAAATGATCTAAGATGATTTGCCTTATCCTGGATCAGTTCATCCTGATAACTGATCTCTGGCTAATTTGGTTCTTCAAACAAGTTCACAAATCAGATTAAAATGTCTGGATAAACTGATCTGAGATCGCTGCGTGTGTTGGGAAGAATAGATCTATCGATCCTCAAAATCATGACCAGCAATGTAAAGATTGGCTGACGGCACAGCTGCATAATGACATCATCTGATTAATATTCAATTATCCATGTGAGCAAAATCACATCAAATTAGCAGCAAACGGTTTGTTAAATATAACACACAATAACTTTTCACGTTTGTTGTGGGCTGCAGGCTTTACACTTTCATGTGTCAAGAGTATTCATTATGTATTTCAATGCATATCAATGTAAATTTAGTTCTACATTTAGAGAAGATTTACTTTATTAAAGTAGCCTATATAGGCCTACTCAAGTTTTTTTAATCTGTGTTTGGAATAACTGTATAAATAAATTTTGCTTCAAAAAAGCATTTTTATAATGGTAAAGGTGTCTGCAACTTTTGTGAAGTATCAAATCACTGCTAGTATTAGCGGTCAAAACACGTGCATGACTGCATAAATTATCCATTTTTAAAAAAGTTGACTATTGTGCATGTATGCGTTTGTAACTAAAAAGTTCATATCGATAAATGTTCTCTTTAAACCACCAGGTGGCAATCTTTGTACTTTATTTTGGAGTGCAGAGTGCATACGTTTCATTGTATTTTTTTTTTTACTTTATGTTTACTATTTTGCCAAGTGTATATAACTACTGTAAGAAAATATTAGCATTTGGTACATACTTTCAGTATTATCTTTGCTTGAAATGACCCTTTCTAATCCTGTTTATATAAATGAGCCTGCTCCCGACCAGGTTTAAGCTACCAGAACTGTTGCTATGACAACAAATCTAAAATGAATTTTGAAGAACTAAACAATTCTGGATCATGTCAAATCGTCAATATACAAATCCAGCTAACTGAATAATCCAACTACGAAGAACAGACCCCAGGTATTGACCAGTATTGTTTTTAGAATTAGAACATTCGATGTTTGCTAATATTTAAAAAATAAATTCAAATGTAGTGTTTCAGACATGTGACAGCACTAAACCGGTATGCAAACAAATCTACGAAAGGCATCTAATCATAATTCAGATGGAAAATAAAACGGATGCCAACAACTTCTTTTTCAAAAATGTCTGCAAAGTCGTTTTGGATGAATTAATTGAACTTGTGAAAATATTTTTTATTTCATTACAGAGCTTCAGCTAGCATCATATGAGAGTGAAGGCCCTGAAAACAACTTGGAGAGAGACACTCGCCGTTCCCTCAGGTCTGAACTCTTCTCTGAAAACCCTTGTTTTTTGTCTCATTTCTACTTACAGTTTGAACTAGTATAGCCTGATCAGGCTTATGTTTCCACTGCTTACACTTGGTAGAATCACAGAAAGTTGCTATCAACATCATTCTTGCTCATAAAGGAAGAAAGGTGTGCTAGTTTTTCACATAGCATGTCACACTCAAGTTCATTACTTTCAAATAGAGAGAGGAAATGGCACCCCTTTCACTTTCCACAGGTTTAAGGCAGGTGCACACAAATGTTTTTAGAGAAATTTTATGGCATTCAATCCCAAGTGATGGTCATTGGCGATGAGCAGAGTGAATGTGCAAAATCACTCCCTGAAGTTGGATGGTGCTTAATGAAAAACAGAAATGCCACAAGGTGGCGCTGTGTTACTGTATGTTTCTGACACTCACAGCATCAGATCCTATTTCATTTGCAGTTCCTCTCCATAACAACTTTCTCTTGACAACATTTTTTCGTTGCTGTCGAACATCATATTAAAAATGACACTTTTACATCTGGTGGTTTGCATGTTGGTGTGCACACTCAAACTGGCGCCCTCTGTTTAGTCATGAGCTAAAATCGTTGCCGTGTACACAGGCCTTAAGACTCTACATGCGAATAAACAACAATAGAGTACACACCGCTGATTCTCATTATGCTTTTTTATTAGCTAAAGGCTAATTTATACTTCTGCGTCAAGCGCAGACGTTTGCTACGGCGCAGACGTTTGCTACGGCGCAGCCTATGCATGGACGCATAGCCGTGGCTGTTGGCGTAACTGATGCGCACCTCTCAAAAATGTGACTACACATCACAACAACGCGTAGCGCAAGCTCTATGATTGGTCGGCTTGCACGTCTGCCGATTCCTGAATCAAAACAATCCAGTTTGAGCCACTTGTACATTCAGGAAGCGTTCAGTAAAAAACAAAACACCAACGAAGAAACTCAACACAGAGGAACATACTTACCTAACTGCCAACTAGCGTTTTGGAAGTGTTATTGCAGAGCGACAGAAACAGCGCATAGAAATATGAATGCACAGCTACGCACGTTGCATGCACCGTGGGTCACGCCGATCACTTGATGCAGAAGTATAAACCAGGCTTAAGGGGTAGAATTGAGATTGGGCTCTTAAATAAAATAGAAAATACGAAAATTATTCAGAAAATAAAATCATTGTTGTTATTGACACCAGTGGCTATTATGTGAACTGCACTGATGAACTGTGTACAGAAGTATTAGTTTACATCCAGGGGTGCATTTCCAAAACAACAACAACATAACTCGTGGCTGAACTATCATAGTATGATGCATAAGTTGGGAAAAGAACAATGTAGTGACGAGTATTTCCCATAACCATAATTTCTCTGTTGCAGATCCACCGTTTGAACCACATTAGTTACAACGTAAAATGTCTATAATGGCATTCTAAACCGGGTGGAGTAACTACTTTAGAGAAATACCCCATCATTTTTTGGGCAAATTATATTTTTTTACACGCACACGCATAAAAAAAACTAACATTAGTTAATTTTGGTAAAAACATGCACTCGTTTATCATATTAATTAAACTATTTGCTATGTAAATGACACATAGGACCTATATATGTTTCCTTTACAAATATTATTGAGAATATTCCATACAAAATCACTACACTAACACGTATTCTGATCTCCTAGCCTATATAAATCATATAAAGTACAGTATGTATATATATATATATATATATTTTTTTTTTATTACTTTTACAATTTGACACATTCAAACCACTGCAGAAATGTTCCATATATGTCTTATAGGCCTACAATACAGATGCATTTCTTAATAAATAACCTACTATAAATTAAACCACTAACATGTGCTATATATGTTTGTTTTCACAAGCTTTGGAGACGTAACGTGAATTCCGCTTTTAAATAATAGGTCCCCTAAAGCAGGTCGCACACCAGAAGCGCCGCGACACGGCGCGCACATGACAGTTTAAAGTATCACACACCAGACGCGCACATTCACATGATATTTAACATGAAACTAATCAGATGGCGCTCTGTAGCACGGCTGAAAAATGAACTGCGTCCTAAGCCATGGCCGGGTGCAGCCGACAGCCGCCGACTTACGGTGCCGGTGTGAGTATGCTGATAGAAACCTATGTTTAGAATTCTAAAATGCGTGGCGCCGAGCGGCGCTTCTGGTGTGCGACCTGCTTAAAGCTTTCGCCATGAGCCATGGCTGTGTTCAAAATGTCATAAATGTTTTCAAAGTGCACTACAAACGATGGATTTGGGAAATGCCAAATCAACAAACTATATTTGTAACAACAGAACTTGCAACTTGAGTTAGCTAATGGTGGTTTTAGGAAGGGCACCCCAGATGTCAGAACAGCGGTTTAAAAAGCATCTGATCTCAGTGATTTGGATATGTTTGCACAAGCTCTGCAATGGCTAGCTTTATGCGAACAGATGAGCTCTAATTATAAAGTGTATTTAAGACCATAAACTATATAGATCTGCTGATGTATTTGAGACTACCGTCTGAATTTGCCACTTTTCATTGATTTTACATCACAACTACAGTACTTTAGGCTTTTTCCTAAACATTATAAGCAAGCTCACATGAAGCCCCTTTAAAAAAAAAGTGACCTTTTTGTAGTCTATATAAATGCTCAGTACTGAATATCATCTGTTTCTCTTTTCTGCAGGTCATCTCTCAGTCGAATGTGAAAGGTGAACTTTGGGATTGTGTCCTGAAACTAGGACTGATGGCACTGAAGACTTTGAAGGACTTTTATTATCATTACACTAGTTTTTTTTCCCTCTGTGCTGAAATTGAGGCTGGATTCTCATCGTGACAGTAACAATATGCTAACAGAATCATATTCATCTCATTTACCTCACGTACCTTCATGAAATGTGTTATAATCATGCTATATAGATCTTCTGGGTGAATTGAGAGCATGTCGCTGGCTGACCTGTTCTATTATTGCATCATGTTTCGTTTTTGCTTTTGGTAAGTGGTAATAGTTTGTGTACTGAACATATTTGTTACAATATTAAGAGATATTTTTATGTGTGTTATAGTTTTTGTGTGACCTGTGTACATGTTTCCCGGTAAAGTATCTCTGAAATAAGCAGTTCGTTGAGTTGTGTTTTTCATACATGTTATTATTTCTAATTCATTCACTTGTTATATTTATTTTCTTTTACTTTAAGTCATTTAGTAGACGCTTTTGTCCAAAGCAACTTAAAATTGAGGAGGTATTCAGCAATTCAACAAGAAGAGGCAATGCATACATACATAAGTGCTAGTTATTCAAAGTAATTTGTTTGTGCTAAGAGAATTTAGTGCTAGATTAGGCGTTTGAAAGAAAGAGAGAGAAAGACAGCGCTCCTTATGAATGGTTTTGGTATTATTCACCAGGGTTTAGGTGTTCTTGGAAGAGATGGGTTTATAGTTGTTGCTTAAAGGATACCAGTGTATTTGCAGGCGGAGTGGAAATTGGAAGATTATTCCATCAACGATCTTCTTGCTGTGAGGCGACAGCATTACCTACTTTTGTTTATAGCTTAAGTATACATATGGAATATTTATTTGTTAGTGTACAGATGGATATTAAGTACTCTGGTGCCACATAGTGTCCTAACTAGTATTGCGGCTAAAATCTACAGTAGCTAATGCTGATAGACTTCTAAATGTAAGTTATTTAAATAAATGGGTACAATGGCAAGATGTTTAAAATAGTTTTATTTCCAGTTAACACATAAACATAAACATATAAATAGCATCATTTTCTTTTACAAAACCAGAACTATGTATTAGGATAGAGGGGGAAATATTAACCTCATAAATCATTTGTTTGAATGTAAAATCCTAAATATCAATTATTTTACAATACAATAACGGATTTTTAAAATTATGTGAAGTTTAAATGTGACTATTTGGGTGTTAAATACCAATACTCACAAAACGTTAATAGATTCTATCTACTAAATATACTAATCAATTGGCAATCAAGTGCATTTATTTACTGAATGCTTTTTCATGTCACACATCAAAATGCGAAGAAATGTATGAAAGAGCTCCAGTGACAATTCAGAATCCCAATAATGCAAATATTCTGAAAATATTTGCCTACATTTCTTTTTATTAAAAATAAAACAGCACAAATTCATTTTAAGTACATTTGAATCAGTTATTTTACTTTTATTTTAATTCACAACCCAAAGGGGTTTTAGAATAAATAAAAGTGTTATATCAGAAATCAATATGCATCAATAAACGCATGAAAAGTGACCAGTACCAATTCAATGTCCAAATAATACAATGAACAGAAGGACATACAAATATTCACAAAAAGCTTTGCTTTTATTTTATTAAAAATAAAACTAATAGCATTGAACTATATTAATTTATACAACATTTTCCCCCCACAAAATTAGTTAACACACATCCCAAATGGGCACGAAAGATAAAATACAGTGTTATTAAAAATATATTTTTTTAAATATCAAATAAATTGGCTATTTTTTGGCAGAGTTACCCAAATATTTTATTTAATAATAATAAAAACACTATTAGTTAATTCTAAAACCATCTAATCATATTCATTTTTAAAACACACCTACAAAACAAAAAGAAAAGCTACTTGTAGTAGGTAGTTTTAAGACTTTTCAGGGTTTGCATGTCTGAGTCTGAAATCACTTTTTAAAATTCTTAAATTACTATATTTAAATACTAAATTATTAAATAGTAAATAACTTATAGTAAATAATTACTTAAATAAATTAAATTATTTTTTAGCAAGAATAATCTATTTTCTGCCCTTTTCAAATGCTCTCTTGTAACCTCATGGGGTATCAAGCCCTGCACTGTTTAGTTCCAATATCTGGTCCAACACACCTACTTGTTCGTTACAAACAAGCCTGAAGGACTCAATTAATTGAATCAGGTGTGTTTAATTAAGGTTGGAGCAAAACTGTGCAGAGCTATGGCCCTCCAGTTTGACACCTGTGGTGTACACCCTTGAATAGCATTAGGGCACACACAAGTTACCCACTTCATGATATATTATTTCTGTTTACTAAGTTTTTGTGCGATGTTTTTTTCTCATGGGCTACATATGAGAGGTCATGTGACGTGAGAGATGATGGCGCTCTCTGAACGCCTCGTTGCATATTTGGCACTTCAGCCTTTCGTCTCCTCGTCTGTTTTGTTTCTCGACAGACAGCGCCGTCTTGTGGTGGGACCTCATGTGCTGCACCAGGTCTGAAGTCATATGGAAGGAGATATTACATTTAGCACACCAGTTTTGCATGGGTAAACCAATAGAAGACGACAGAGGGCGAGGTAACAGCGACTGAAGAGGAGGAGTAGGCGGATGTCGGGATGTTTTAGGCCAAAGGTTTGCACTGGGAATGAGAGCCAACTGTTTGGGAATTTCCTTATATAGAACAGTAGAGCTCTGGAAGTTGAGAGGTAGAATGTTGGGAAGGACTGATGTTGAGTTTTTGGGAAAACTGGCTGATAGAAGTGGGATATGGGATGTTATGCGAGGAGGTTGCTTAAATGCGCTTTTCAGGTCATCTGGAACATCAGACGACTTTTTTGAGGAGAATTCAGACTTTGTTACTCTTTTGTTACACCTTAAATCCTCGCTGTCTGGATCTGCTGTGGGGTTGTCATGGCTCTTTGTTGGGCTGAACTGAAAATTTGGACTCCCGCTGAAAGACGTTTTGCTGGATGACGACCAGGAATGGCTATTCACTCCATTAAGACGAAACCTTTTCACTGATACCTTTTTATCTCCATCCAACGATGAGGGTTCGCTGTCGCTCTCATCTGAGTCTGATTCCAGAGAATGTCTTCGTTTGGTGTTTTTTGTATCTTTGTTTTTCCTGCAGTTCTCCAGCTCTCGTGCTAAGTTGTGAAAGTCTGTGGTGGGTTTGTTACTCTGTGGATGGATTTCGGGCCTGGTGAATGTATTCAGAAAGTTTGTGGGTTTCTCTGTGCAGAAGAACCTCTGGTGTGCCAGAAGAGGGAATTCAAAGAGGAATTTCTGTTTGCACTGAAAGCAAATGAACCCTAAAAGAGAAAGGGAGTAATTGTACTTTATTGTAGGTTCATTAAGCAACTGAAGCAGAGCTTGAAGGTAAACAAACAGCGGTTTATCATAATCATTTTATTGATAATGTTTTACACAGTTGGCATTAAGAAGGAACATAGAAACGTCTAGCAGCTAAATATGTCTGAAAAAATATTTGAAGGTTTTTATTTTCATAAACAGCACAGATGTGCGTCTGAATGTTCTAATAGTGAACACACTCTTTCTGGCAAAATGCAGCATTCCAGCAAATTATCTATAATGTACTTATTGCCTTAACAAATTTACCTGTATTTTCAGAAAAGGCCTGTTCACACATCCTCCGGTAATTGCCGGTAATTTTTCGGAAAGGTCTGTATGTGTGAAAGGGGCTATTAGCTACGTTTCCATCCACCTATTTTTATGCGCATAATAAAATCGGTTGTTGGAAATGCCAAGATGCGTATGAATTTTGAAAATGCGCATAAAAAACGTATGCGCATAACTGAGTAGGATAAACTTTTTATGCGATAAGAAAAGATACGCATAAACTACGATGGGAACACTTTTACCAAACAAATTCCAGTATGTGTCTATGCGCATTAAAAAAGTTCATGTGATTTTGTTATAAGAGATCATGTGATGATAAAAATCTGTGTGAATGGACAAACCAGCAGGCTGAGCACATTATAAAACATCTGAAATGTTGTTTTGGTCATTCTAAAATGCCATAACCATTTCAATATTAGTGTTATCATATTATTAATAACCTCCAGAATTAATTACTAGAGTGTCTGTGCTCCGTGTCTCACGCCTTTAAACGCAAGTCATTTATTAAATAAAGAAAAGATTGATTACAGCAAATTCCGTTTTTACTGTTGATATTTGGCGGCAGTTTATCAGAAAGTGACGATTTTGTTTGCTTTGACTCATTGGATGGAAACGCTGCTTTATTTGCATGTCTTTTATGCGATATTCCAGTTTTGCGCATGAAGTTAATTTGCATTTTTGGATGGAAACATAGCTAATGAAATAATCACTTAACCGTTTCGATCAAATACACAGAGTTATTTAAAAGAAAAATAGGTGACTGTCCAAGCATTTTGTTTAAAAAACATAAATTCACAAATGAAAACAAACATCTCATTTGGTGAGTCTCTGAATTATTCACTGAACCAGTTTGTTAAAGTACACCAACATATTCACAAACAAAAACCAGTGACTCTCTTAATTGCCGAATGGACCCTTTTCACAAGACTGTTATGACTCTTTAACGGTCATCGTAATCTTAAATCTTTAAAAGTATGAACATTCATTCATTCAGTTTCTTGTCGGCTTAGTCCCTTTATAAATCCGGGGTCGCCACAGCGGAGTGAACCGCCAACTTATCCAGCAAGGTTTTTACGCAGCGGATGCCCTTGCAGCCGCAACCCATCTCTGGGAAATATACACACACACATTCACACACACACACTCATACACTACGGACAATTTAGCCCACCCAATTCACCTGTACCACATGTCTTTGGACTGTGGGGGAAACCGGAGCACCCGGAGGAAACCCACACAAAGGCAGGGAGAACATACAAACTCCACACAGAAACGCCAACTGAGCCGAAGTTCGAACCAGCGACCCAGCGACCTTCTTGCTGTGAGGCGACAGCAGAGCACTACCTACTGCGCCACTGCCTCGCCCAGTATGAACATTTTTATGTATTTATGTATGTATCATATCATATTTTTCAAAATACAAAAAAACAAATTACCGATTATGCGATGGGTTTCTAATGCAGCGTCTATGGGGCTGAGAGTAAATTTGATGTTATTCTCTTCTCTAGCTGCCGTCATCAGTCTTACACAATTATTTTTCTTTATAACATCATCGTGGAGTTTTTATTTAATTACTTAAGCAAATAAGATTTTTCCAACTTTCTATGTTTACCTAACTATGACGACTTCTGCTACGGAGAAACCCGGAAATGTGAAAAGTGTCTATTATTCACTCATCTGAATTCACTGATGTATTCACCAGCAAGATAAGCCACTGTCTTACTTTCAGAGTCGCTGAATTTTTACATCAATCTGTTTAAATACAATGACATATTCAGGAATCAAACAAATGATTTTCTTAATTAGTGAGTTGCTGAATTTTTCACTGGATTGATTCATTCAAATGCACTCTCCTAATTGGTGAGTCGTTGAATTGTATACTCATTTGATTAGTTCGAATGCACTGACGTAATTAGGAACACAATAAGCAACTATTTTCTGTTAAGTCACTGAATTATTCACCCAGCCTAGTTGTTCAAAAACACTGATATATTTAGGAATTAAACATTACATTCAATATATAATGCAGGTATATAAATATATAATGCATTCAAACCTGTTGTGTTCTTTCGTTCAGTGCTGAGGCCAAGCAGTTTGGCTAGATCTCTCCCATACCAAGCCAAAAGCTCTGTGTGTTCAGGAATGTCCTTTATGGCTCTAAAATAGAGATGTCCGTTCTTCATATACGCCTCTAGATTTTGTTCCTCCGAATTCCTTGCAGACTGAACCATCTGTAGATATTCACTGGATTCTGATGGGTCGATCTGAGCAATGCAAAAGAACATATTTTAGGATATTAAAATTCAAACAAATATTATTCATTCATTTTCTTTACATCTTAGTCATTTTATTAATAAGCAGTCGCCACAGTGGAATGAAACGCCAACTTATCCAGCATATATTTCACACAGCGGATGCCCTTTCAGCTGCAGCCCAACCCTGGGAAACACCCATAAGGTCTCTTTTACACACATACACTATGGTCAATGTAGCTTATTCAATTCACCTAAAGCACATGTCTTTGGACTGTGGGGGATACCGGAGCACCTGGAGGAAACCCACGCAAAAACGGGGAGACCATGACAACTCCACACAAATATGCCAACTTGCCCAGCTGAGGCTCGAACCAGCGACCTTCTTGCTTTAAGACAATCATGCTACCCACTGCACCACCATGACGCCACATATTTGCATATTATTTGTACCCTAATACAGAAAATAGCTTTATATACTTACATTAGCATTATTTTAGACTATTAGACGTGTACTAGATGAAACATGGTAAAGTTGCCACAAGAGCTATGTTTGAATAACAATCTGTAAGGTTTTCTTTCCAAACTGCAATTATATGAAAAATATTGCAGTATTTTGCAGTTCAAAATTAGAATAATTCTCTTCAGTTTGATTTCTACAATTCTATATTATATTTTTTGTAATAGGCAAACATTACACTCTTTTTTTCTTTAGGAATGTATCCTCTATTTTTGTTTGAAAATAGAATCAAATGTTTAAACAGAATATTACTAATAAACAATCATCTATATTATTATTTTTAAAAAGCATTAAAGGCAAATATTAATGTCAAGATAAAAAAGTTTTAGATCCAATTTTTTTAATGTTATTTTAAAATTATAATTTCCAAAAAATACTCATTTCCCTGTTATTAGTACTTTTTAAAGTTCTTGTTTAATTTTTTAAATATTGCTGACTTTTAATAATTAGAATTTCAGTAGATATAGCCTAAATAGCCTATCTGTAGCTCGTTTTTGCCCTTCGCATATGGTGGAAGTTTTAAAGGGATAGTTCAACAAAAAATGAAAAGCTATTCATTATTTACTCACCCTCAAGTGTTTCCAAACTTATATGAGTTTCTTCATTCTATTAAACACAAACGATGATGTTTTAAAGAAAGCAGACAACCTGTAACCATTGACTTCAATGGTCACGGGTTTCCAACTTTCTTCCAAATTTTCTTTTCAACAGACGAAAGTGAATTATGCCTTTAACTTTGATTTTTCTATATCAAGCTTTAGGTTGTTATTTTTTTTAATGAACATACATTGCGTAAAATCGTGTCATCATGTCTCGGTCTCCTCTGTTAATTATAATCACAGGGCGAAAAATTACCTGGAGCACGCAGGCGGCGGCTCGTCTGTCCGAGCACTTGCAGGCAATGAAGGCGATGCTGTGAGCTCCGGCACAGGGTCCGAGCACCGCTCCTGCCCGCACTGCTCGAGCGGTCCTGATGCTGCTCAGAGTCTCTGTGATCCAACGCTGAGCGGCCGCCGCGTCCAGCAGACACCGCGCGCTCTTCTCTGAACCCTGACACAATGACCACATAGAACAGATCAAATTCATTCCTGTAGGCCTATTTTATGTCTGCAAAAATTAAGAATAGCAAACATTTTGTCTAAGTGTTCTAAAATGTGTCAACATGCAAATAAACCATTATTTAGTCAATCTAGCTCAACAAATATGAACAATGCATGAAATCCAAAAATGATGACGAATATAGGCTATTATTATTATTATTATCAGGACCTTTTATTATCATTGGACATTTTAGAGGCCAAAAAAAACTTTTTATCCCTATTTGTAGACGTTGTAAAACGTAGGCTATATAAGCTAATTTTGTATAGGAAATGCCTCAGCAAAAAAAACTTCAGATATACAAATATGAATCAAGTGCTACTTAAACAGAGATGTATGACTCAGAGCAGTACAGAAAATAATTTTAATAAATTAAGTTGATAAAAAGTAACAAAAGTAACATTTAAAAGCGCATTTTAGATGGTTTTCCTTTGCATTAAAGTAAAAAGAAAACGCTTTAGGGAACCAAAAAGCCCAGAACTTACAGGTGCACTGTTTTTCCTGCAGTGTCTCGCTATAATTCGCATCATAGACGCATCTTACCATTTTAATCCACGGCATAAATAAACTCCTCTCAGGTCGTGGGGTGATTCCTGATTTTCCTGAATGCTCCGAGCTTTGATTCTTAAATTATGATGACTCGCGATTATTTATCTGCATATAAAACAACGTCAGGACTCCGCCCACAGACCCGACCCCCCTTGACCTCTCATATTGTCCCTAATATGAGTTGTTCTGGGTCAGAGTCGTTCATGGATGTGTGTATCTGATCTCCAGCTCTGATCTCAGGCTCAAATGTCTAAACTGACATCGCGGAGATGAGCTCATTACTGTCATATTAACAGCGGTGCGGTCACGCGTTAATGATTGCTCACCAGTGTTATGCCTGCAGGCTATTGTTCCTCTTCACGTACAGTCCGCTCTTCCAGCTCTATCATTCATCTATCTATCTATCTATCTATCTATCTATCTATCTATCTATCTATCTATCTATCTATCTATCTATCTATCTATCTATCTATCTATCTATCTATCTATCTATCTATCTATCTATCTATCTATCTATCTATCTATCTATCTATCTATCTATCTATCTATCTATCTATCTATCTATCTATCTATCTATCTATCTATCTGTGGATTGACTGTTCAGCATTCACAAGTTTATTTTATTTTGACTGACATGACATATCCAAATGATAGTGTTTTAAAACAGCAGATAGTTATATAAAAGCAATTGATGCATTTCCAAAAGCATTTGCAATTTGTTGGAAAAAATGACTAATTGTTTTGAGAAATGTCAATAGTGTTGTGAAAAATGCACCAAAGCCACTGAAATAACTGTAAATTCTAAGAGAAATTAAACTAATAAAATCACTGCATCCACAATGTCTAATAATAATCATTTGAATGGAAAACACTCTTTTTGTTTATATTAAAACACTTTAATGTTTGAAAAAGTAACTCTATATACAAAAAGCAACTCAATAAACAGTAAAAATATGTTGTGTTATTTTCACAGTGAACATATACAGATACTTATGCATTTATTTATCTGAAGCAAAATATTTTTTGCAGTGCATGCAACATTTAATCCTGTAAGTTTCATAAGTTTTAAGGACTGAAAGTGTGAAACAGCAAATTGACTTTTCTATAGAAATAGGTAACTAAAGAATATATAAATTTACTTTTAAAATCTACAGAAATACTTATATAATTTCCTTAGAAAACAATCACCAGTAGGGTAGAGTGGGGACAGTTGCAACACCTTTTGCATTTCCTTTAGTTTTTTCCGAGACAGTCTTTTAAGGAAAACCAACATTTTAACACAATATACCCACATGTATTGGACACCCACACACATTGCTAATACAGTTGCAATCAGAATTTTTAAACCCCCTGAATTATATTTTTTTCTCCCCAATTTCTGTTAACAGAGAGAAGATGTTTTCAACACATTTCTAAACATAATAGTTTGATAACTTATTTCTAATAACTGATTTATTTTATCTTAGCCATGATGACAGTAAATAATATTTTACTAGATATTTTTCAAGACACTTCTATACAGCTTTAAGTGACATTTAAAGGCTTAACTAGATTAATTAGGTTAACTAGGCAGGTTAGGGTAATGAGGCAAGGTATTGTATAATGATGGTTTGTTCTATAGACTGTCGGAAAAAATATATATAGCTTAAAGGGGCTAATCATTTTGACCTTAAAATGTTTTATTATTTTTTTTTAAATAAAAATATTCTAGCCAAAATAAAGCAAATAAGACCCCCCCCCCCCCCCCCACACACACACACAAATATTATCAGAAATACTATTAAAAATGTATTTCCTTGCTCTGTTAAACATAATTTGGGAAATATTAAAAAAAAATTTAAGGGCGTTTAATAGTTCTGATTGCAACTGTATGTACATATGATCATTTATTGGGAATTTAAACTTGAACAGACAAAGTCAAACATTGCAACTGACCCCGAGCAGGGGGAGGGGGGGGGGGGGGAATTCATTAAAATGTAATTAAATAAATACTAAAGCATCAGGTTGGATTATTTTTTATTTTTGGGTAAACAGACTAAATGTAAATTGGTTAAATGTGATAAATTGCCCACATAATTATCAGACCTAAAAAAATATTTTTACTGAAAATCTAGACTGAACCTTTACTAAATGACTTCTTTTGAAATTTGAAATGAATTAATTAATTTAAAAAAACATCTATTTAAATTAAATTACATTCAAACTGCGATGAAATTAAAATTGTACATTGTTAATATGGCAAGATTTTCTATGAATTCTGTAATTGCGGACAGAAATTTGAGTTTTATACTGAAGGAATAAACACATATGCCTGATTTGTCTCAGACTGAAGGAGGGTCTAACTGAGAATATGTAGTAATATGAATATAATCACTCTAGCTAATCATGCCCCATGTCGAAACTGTCCCCACCCCTGTAATTCTAGAGTTGTTTACAATTATGATACAATAATAGTAACAAAAATATTTTGAAGTAATGTGACATTTTATAGAAAACATAACTTATATAATTCTAGCATCTCATGAGATCTGAGGCACGCTGTCTTTCTGTTTGTAAATATTCAAGCTTGCACAATAAGTCCACAATTAGCCTACATGGTGTATATTTTGTGTCAGTATATTGTTTATCGTATTTTACCTGTTTAAAAGCGACATTGTTGCCAATTCCTTTTAATATATTCGATTTATGCTGCTCTCGTGTCTCAACAAAACTATCCCCGACCCCTGGCCTGTCCCCTTGTAAGATCACAAGATCTTGTTAGTGTTGAAGAGCGCAACAGCCCATTCAGCGCATGCGCACTAACCCATGCATTCATGTGCACTATAAACCGGACCCTCTTTGAATAAAAAAAAAGAAAAGACAAACGGAATTAAATGAATCTCGAGTTGAAGAGATGGATCTTAGGAAATGAAACGAATAGCATTTCCTGAAGAGCGCAGCAGGAGTGGCTTCGTAAACATTGTATTGTTCGACGGTGCGCGCGCTGTCATGCAGGAGTAAAGAACTGCGCGCTTCTTCCACGCGCGTCAACTGCATTTCCACTGCTGAGTTTGATGTATTCCCATAATAACGACGTGTAGTACCTGACGGGAATGAGAGGAGACAGCAATCATGCCATTACAGCGAATTGGGTCCTCCAACTTTTCTGCCTCTCCCTCCTGACTCCATTCGGGACAGGAGAAGATGGGTCTTGCCATGGAGCCTTTGATTTATATTTTGTGTTGGATCGGTGAGTTTGACGTGCCTTTTTATGTTTATATGCCTATGTTTTATAGGCTGTATGTTTATAAAATGTACAAACACGTAATCTCACACTTGTGTGCTTGACTGAAATATTATTAATAAAAAAATAACTCCAGTGAGTTCATTAGTTGTCCTGGTATTTTTAGGTAGCCCACAGTTTATTATTTTTTTCTAAAGCTCTCAGGAGCCCTTATATGGCCCTGTTTATCTTGTAAAGCATTGAGTGTTCACCATCATTCTAGGTCAGGCAGTGTGTCTGACAACTGGCTGGAGATCTATGGATTTGTGGAACAACTTACGAATCGTTTTGTAAGGTAAGAAACTAAACTACATCTTAAACTGTTCATTTTTAACATCAATCAAAGCTGATGGGTGGGTTAAAGAGTTAAAAGTCTTGCCTTGTACCACTTGCTTGAGTCCTAACCTCCTGCACATGTGTTAAACTAAAAATAACTTAATTTCAGTTTACTATGTTTAACTTCAGTGTTTGTAATATGTCTGTTTGGATTAGTGTGTGGTATGGTGACCATACCACAAATGTTAATGCAAGTTTAGACATGAGGGCACAATGGTCAACCTCAAATAGTGCCATAGTAGTAATTTACACCAACCATAGCACTGCTTAACAATCACAGTGTATATTATACAGTATAATTTTTCTTGCTCATAAAACGGGTAAAGGGCCGGATACACTCAAGACAAAGTTTTTTTTGTCTTTCTTTACTTGAGGAATAACTAAAATTCTTAAATTCCCAAGTGGCAGTACTGTTAGCAAATATATTAAGAGCAACATTTAGACTGATTTTTTTTATTGTCTTAAATGGATTTTACACTTCTTAACTGATTGTTTTCACTTTGTTTAGCCCGAAAATGAGGGTATCCTTCATAGTCTTTTCATCTAGTGCAGAAATAATCTTGCCTCTCACTGGAGACAGGTGTGATTTCATTCATTATGTTGAGTCTTACCACAGTCAATTTTTTTCTTTACCACAGATTAAAAGAATAAAGCTTAAAAAAAAATTGTGTGTGTGCATTTAGGGTGGACATCGATAGTGGTCTGCAGCAGCTGAGTAAGATCAGACCTGCTGGTGATACCTATATGCATGAGGGTTTAAAAAAGGTAAAAATCTCATATTTTCTCATCAAAAAGCATTTATTGAACTACTATGTGGTCATAATAGATGTAAATATATTGTAGGCAATAGAGCAAATGACTTCCCAGGGCGCAAGGGCATCCAGCATCATTATTGCACTGACGGATGGAAAGCTGGAGGTTTTTATGAATGAACTTGCTATAAAAGAGGTACAGTAGCAAACCACATATACGTGGACATTTGTGTTGCATAATCTATGGAAGCATTGAGATATTTTAGGGGGTCTTATTATGCTTTTCACACTGTCATCTTCCTAACATTCTAAACGTTTTGTATACATTTTGTAATTTTGAATCTGATGTGAATGACCAACGCAATCTCTGCAATTCGTAACTTTTTGATTTAGTGATGTTTTGTAAACAAATTTCGGGAGGAGCATGCGCAGAAGTTTCAGTATCGAATACGTCATTGACAATTATCCCATCATCAAATCAGTTCTTGAGCAACCCCTATATATACCAAAGCTGTCTTACCTGCAGCATCTCACGACTTTAGCATCCCTCCACCACCCCATCACCTCACCTCTTGCATTACATTCCCGGGGGGAGCGTTCTGGGGCCGGACTAGATACTTCGCTCGAATCCCAACTCCTCTTGGTTTCCTGATTAGGGGAATAACTCGAGTTGGGGTGTCTCCTCGAGCTCAGAGCCCTCCCCCCGGACAGCATGCCAAATATGCTTTATACTTAAACGAATGCAAGTGTGAACTCGTGAAGTGGCTAATCTGTGTGAATTCGTACAATTTAATTCGTAATCTAATGCGAACGATTTAGTACGATTTGCTCATCACAAATAACAGTTAGGGTTAGGGGTGGGGTTGGATGCCACGCCTCGTTTTTAAAATCGTACATGTTTGTATGACTGAATTCATACAAATTCGTACGAATTAGCCACTAAACTGTCAAATCGTAAAATACTTATGTTTCCTCGTGAGATCAGGCTGGAATGACACACATCATCTGTTTAATTAAAAATATTCAATTATTGTCCGTACAGATTAGCTTGTATTTTTCAAACCATAAATATCATGTTTTGTTCTTATGTCTATTTAATGTCGGAAAGCTAAAATAAAGGCTAATTTTTAAAACATTGATATATTATGATCCTTTTCTGGCTCGTCGCAAGTCATTGCAGAAAAGCAGATTCGAATTTAGCAGCAGATCACTTGACGCACTGAACGTCCTAATCACACCAGTGTGATTGTATGGTGATCATACTGGTGTGATCATATGTGTCAAGGGGTTAAATTAGCATTATTCACACCTTCTGTGTGTTTTTTTTGTGTGTATCTGACCTGAGCTGAACTGTCCTAAAGAGAACTTTAATTTAGGTTTAAATCTAATAATGCAGGTGACGCAGTGGCGCAGTAGATAGTGCTTTCGCCTCACAGCAAGAAGGTCGCTGGTTCGAGCCTCGGCTGGGTCAGTTGGCATTTCTGCGTGGAGTTTGCATGTTCTCCCCGTGTTCGCGTGGGTTTCCTCCGGGTGCTCCGGTTTCCCCCACAGTCCAAATACATGCGGTACAGGTGAATTGGGAAGGCTAAATTGTCCGTAGTGTATGTGTGTGAATGAGTGTGTATGGATGTTTACCAGAGATGGGTTGCAGCTGGAAGGGCATCCGCTGTGTAAAACATGTACTGGATAAGTTGGTAGTTCATTCCGCTGTGGCAACCCCGGATTAATAAAAGGGACTAAGCCGACAAGAAAATAAAAAAATTATTAAATCTAATGAAGCAGTTGGCACCAATAGCCTAGTAGTTAAGTGCGTTGACACATAGCACTATGGTGCTTAAGCGAGCCAAGTTCGATTCCTGAGTCAAGGTCTCTTGCTGATGCTTTCCATCTCTTTCTCTGCTCCCTATCCATATAAGGCTCTGTAAAACATATTCTGGATAAGTTGGCGGTTCATTCCGCTGTGGCAACCCGAGATTAATAGGGGACTAAGCTAAAAAGAAAATAACTGAATGAATGATAAATTGACAAGACAAGATTGTTTGGGGTAATTGGAGCACAGGATGTAATAATGAGCTGAAACTGATTCTTGGGACATTAGAGATTTAGTTTTACAATTATTACGACCCCATTAACTTGTTCCACTTTGTTTTACGATGCATTTGTTTGTGTTTCATGGGTTTATTTAAATAAAGTGCATGTTATTAGAAAATACAGCTATGAATACATATTTAATTTTCTCATTTGCTTTTTCAGGCTGATCTGGCAAGACAATATGGTGCAAGGGTGTATTGTGTTGGCGTGAAGGATTTTGATGCAAACCAGGTAAGACTTTTCAAAAGTGAGATGGAGCTGTAGTACATGCTTAAAAATAGGGCTTAGTATTAAATGTTGAAAACAGGTTGAAAATTAAATATTCTTACACAATATATATTTTCAAGACACCATAATAACATAAAGAATTAGAAGTAGACCTATATAGCTACTTTATATATTAGAACAATAAACACCCTTAGTACCTCAGCAACACCATGGCACCCATCGAAAACACTCAAACATGAGTGAAGCTTTCAGAAAAAATAATAACAATCGAGTTTATAATATTCTCTTCAGTCTGAATCTATTGTTGTTCCTCAGTTGTTACTGTGCATGCGTATAATTGTTGAAATGAGAATATTGTTGTTGTCATGACAGTATTGTTTTATTTATGTGCAGTAGTAACAGCATTAGTGCAACAGAAGGATCTTTTATATTGACTTTGGTGGATGTGTTTGTCCGGGCAGAATGCTGAGAGTAATTGAATTCTGCAGAGCACTTTCCGGCCCATTTTACATTAGCAAGAGATTGAGTCTGCTTTGGGAAATGATAGCTGGGTCAAAGACAAGATGTCCCATTTTGGTCAAATTTACAATATCCATTTTGAAAATAAAATGTCAAAATATTGGTGAAATAAGGATCCATGCTTGAACTGTAAAAAATATCATATATTCTCATTCTTGCTAATAAATGAGTAAGAAATGGATAATAAATTCATATTCTGTTATAATCTTTTATTATGTCATTAAATGATTCAGCTTACAGAAATTGCAGACAACAAAGATCAAGTGTTTCCTGTGGTGGATGGATTCCAAGCCCTCAAAAACATTGTAAATTCGGTGAGATTTATGATCAGTAAAAATGCCATTCATCACATGCAGTTTAGCTGCTGTTTTCTAACCGGCCCATATATGTATTCACAGATTTTACAGAAGTCCTGTGTGGAGGTTTTTAAGCTTGAGCCCTCCAGCATTTGCGTCAATGGTATGAAACACATCTTAGGGTATGTTTACACAACAAAGATGCACTAAAAATGGAAGTGTGTTTCCGGAAATGTGTTTTTCAACATGATCCCCATTCATTCACAAAAACGACAAAAAAAGTATGTTGCTCATGCAAGTCCAGTAGATAGCACTGTCTCTTTTGTATGTAGTCCACCATTGCTGCTGTGATTTTTAATGCGCAGTATGTTGGATTGAAGTTTGTATATTGGACTAGGTATTGCAGCATAAATTTAAAATATTTAAGGTTTTTTTTTTTTTCACCCACCCCCTCCGACATCGACGTGGCACAAAGGCAGATTGCCAGATTGACGACACATACATAAACAAGTATGCCTGAGGATTAAGCCTTACAGTTTAAGATGCCACATACATTAAGACAGATTTCATGACTGAAGCCAAGTACGCTCTTTTAGGTTTAGGCAACCTGTTATTTCACAAATCTAATTGGGTAAACTGACAGTGGGCCGGGTATAGAGACCAAAACAAAGACAGGGATTCTGACACGGAAGGCTCATTTTCAATGGAGAATAACTGACTTTATCATTGCTTTTCAGATAAACAAACATGTTGACTTTGCATGTTTCTTAAATATCTGCAATATCTGCATATTAAGGTATTTTTATGCTTCAGAAGAGTTAAAAAGTTTGACAAAAACACCATTAAAGTCAGCACAAAATCATGTTTTTTACTACACATATTTTTCTTTTTATTATTATTTTTAGGGGTTTTCACCTTTTATTGAGATAGGATAGTGGAGGATAGACAGGAAAGCATTGGGAGCAGAGAGAGGGGAAAGATTGGAACATGACCTCAAGCCGGGAATTGAACTCAGGTCGGCGTGAGCACCATAGTGCTATATGTCGACGAACTTAACCACTAGCCTATTGGCACTAACGAAGACTATTTTTAAACGTTTGTCTCCCAAAATACATTACATCTTCTAATTTTATTGTAAATGTAAGTTGTGTAAACAACCCGTAGAAATATCCATGTAAACTTTTACCTCTTTAGAGTCATAAACATGACTAATCTTAGCATAAACATTGTGTTCTAGAATCCTTCAACATTGTTTTGAGAGGAAGAGGGTTTACTCAGGGAAGAACCTCAGAGGGTGTGGTCTGCACATTATCTGTCAATCATCAGGATCCTTACAGTAAGACATTCAGTGCATTCCATCTATTATAAAAATACAAAAGACCGCCTGGTCTTACAAAAACAAGCCATATAATTCATCTCCCCATTTAACAAATGAATAAGAGACATGAAAAGCCACAGAATTTATGGCAAGTTGTTTAATCGTGTAATATATAAAACAGTTTTGGGTAAAAAAAAATAATATATTACAGTCTTAATCTTCAAAAAATGCAAAAATACCACATACTTTCACATTGCTAATGTAAAGTGTGTGTTATGTTATTTTTCTACAATTATTAATATTAATAAATGTATTACAATTTAATATGCATACACTTTTTTAAAATATATTACTTTTTTACCCATATGTGCATACTAATATCTTTATTTATGCTATTTTTTATATTAGTAAGTAACTATTCCATTAAATACCGCTTATTCTTCAGGTACTAGTATGTAATAATAAGCATTAGTATCTAAAGAATAAGTACTACTAACTAATAAATAGGAGCTAGTCTGTTCAGTCTACTGGTATCTAATGAATAAGTACCAGTATTTAAAAAATAACAACTAGTATCTTTTAAAAAGGTCCTAGCATCCAAAGCACTGGTTGCTAATGTAGAAGCTACTAGTATTTTTAAGGAAATAGATACTACCCTGCTGAAAAATCCAGCCTAAACCAGCCTAGGCTGGTTGGCTGGTTTTAGCTGGTTGACCAGCCTGGTTTTAGAGGGGTTTTGGCCATTTCCAGGCTGGTTTCCAGGCATTTCCAGCCTGGTATTAGCTGGTCAGGCTGGAAAATGACCAGCCAAATCCAGCTAAAACCAGCTTGACCAGCCTGGTTTAAGCTGGATATAGCTGGTTTTGGCTGGACTCCCAGCTTGGCTAGGCTAATCAAACTGGTTTTAGCTGGTCATCTCCCAGCCTGACCAGCTAAGACCAGGCTGGAAATGGCTGGAAACCAGCTTGGAAGTGGCCAAAACCCCTCTAAAACCAGCCTGGTCGACCAGCTAAAACCAGCCAACCAGCCTAGGCTGGTTTAAGCTGGATTTTTCAGCAGGATAGTACAAATTATAGATCAAATGTCAATCAGGCTTGCCAACAAACCAAGTGAGATCCTAAAATCCACATGGCCTCCAGTAGCTCTTTTTAGCTGGTGAGGGTGCTGTACTGAGCCACATCCTTAAATAAAGCCTCTGTGTTTCCACCAGTATTTGGCATTTTACTATAGTCTCATGCTGCTCTCTCTTCCTTCTAGATGAGAGGCCGAGTATAGTGAAGGATAATTACGTGCTGTGTCCCGCTCCAGTGCTGACCGAGGTTGGACAGTAAGTGGCATTCAGAGAACAGTGGCCCTCCATTCAGAGCAACAGCTGTTACAGGCCGACATGCAAAGAGAGCAAGTTCATCGTTTTTTTCTCAGGGGGTTTATCTCAGTTTCTGTTTATAGCTTAGCTAATAGACAACTGATAAGAAGCAGGCTCAGCGCAGGGCTGAAACAAAAATAACTGAAAACAAAATACAGCAACTTCATGCTAGCAACACTAACAACTAGCTAAGGACACGTTTAAAACATGGTATTAGAAATATGCTAAAAGTGTGATAAAACATACTAGAAACATAATATGTGTTTAAAATTCTAATGTTGTGAAACCTGTTCGTTATATGGTTGCAGCATGCTAATTTATTAGCATTACTTCACCTCACAAGTACAAAGCATATTAGAAATACTTGAACATGCTATTTCAACTTTTTAGGAGCAGGTTGATTCATGTTAACAATATTTTAACAGAATTCTTATTCACACTAAAACCATGTTAGCACTGTTTGAGCTAACATGCTAATATATGCTTACAATTTGCTAATTACTCTCAGTTTTCATGTGGGTTTCGTCTGCTTGCTCCGGTTTACCCCACAGTCCAAAGCACTAAGACACTAAGCCGAAAAGAAAATGAATGAATTTGCTAATTAATGCTAGAAACATGTTAAAACATTCTAGAAGCAATTTGGCAGGTAAATTAGGCGTGTTAATTTATGCTAGCAAACAGTTAACCATGTTAGACAGTATACGTATATGTTGTATTAACATATTGTTAGCAAAACTCGAAACATGTTGTCAAATGTTAATTCTTTCTGAAAATATGTCATCCATACCAATAACATTCTGGAAATCTGCTAATTTATGCTGACATTATGTTGATAAATGTTACATACTCATGCTAGCATTGTGATTAAAAATACTGTAGAAAAATGCTAATTAATGCAAGCGATATGCTAATATTGTTAACAACATGTTAGCAGTGTGCATGAAAACATGCTAGCAATGTTTAAAACATTATGGTAATATATTAAAACATGTTTTTAATGTTATTAATGTGCTGCAGCATGCTAGCGAAATGTTAACAAGACATAACTACAGTGCTTAGCATAATTGAATACACCCCATTTTGAAGATGAATATTTGTATCTATTTCTCAGTGAATACAGGCAATGTATTTAATGCATTTAAACATAACTGGTTTATTAAACAGATATATTTATTAAAATAATATTTTAGTCTCAAAACATGTTTAGAAATGAAAAGATAATACAATTAAATTTCAAGCAAAACATTGCAAAAATAATTATAAACTATAGAATTTTAACTTAATTTTTCTTTTCTTTTTTTTTTTGCTTCTCTGGATTCAGGTTAAAAAAACATGTTAGCAGTGTGCTAAGATTTACTAGCAGCAAAACCTTTAAATTTGTCTTTCTTAAGCTCACATCAAAGCTTGTCTACAGTTCACCAGTTTTTTTATACAGTTCGTCATAATTATTAGCCCCCAGAATTATTAGCACCCTGTTTATTTTTTCCCCCAATTTCTGTTTAACAGAGAGAAGATTTTTTCAACACATTTCTAAACATAATAATTTTGATAACTCATTTCTAATAACTGATTTATTTTGTCTTTGCCATGATAACAGTAAATAGTATTTGACTAGATATTTTTCAAGACACCAATATTCAGGATAAAGTAACATTTAAAGGTTTTACTGGATTAATTAGGTTACCTAGGCAGGTTAGGGTAATTAGGCAAGTTATAAAAGGGTTAAGTTATTAAAGGGACTAATAAGTTAAGGGCTAAGTTATTTATGGGGCTAATAATTTTGACCTTAAAATGTTTTTTTTTCAATATTATTAAAAACAGATTTTTTTCTAGCCAAAATAAAACAAATAATACTTTCTTAAAAAATATTATTAGACATACTGTAAAAAAAAATCCTTGCGCTGGTAAACATAATTTGGGAAATATATAAAACATGTTTTCAAAAAATTCAAAGAAGGGCTAATAATTCTGACTTCAACTGTATATTTTAGCAATGCTCTGTTGGTTTAATTGACCAACAGTGGTCCCCTTTTAGTATTTAGTCATGTAATAATGGACTTTCTTTCTCTCAACAGATCAATTGATGTGCTAATTAGTCTGAATAATGGCCAGTATTTCATTTCAACTCCCATCACAATATATGCCACCACATGTGTGAGTACATATTATCCATGGAAATAATTTCGAGACCAATAGAGAATTCTCAGCATTCACTGAATTTACTAGGTATAGTCTATGGGTTTTGAGTAAAATACTAATATTTGTTTTACTCTATAAGGGTCCGATAACATTTCTTCTGAATTTCAAGTAAAAATATTGTGTATTAGACCATTTTTTAAAGGAAAATGACAATTGTTGAAAATTAGTTCTGTCAGTTTGGGGGATTGAAAATCAGGTTTATTCCACCAAATATAGATTTTTCAAAGTCTTCCTTTCTTTTATTTTATTATGTTGTCTAAAACAAATGTAAACATGTCTAAAAAATGTTGGTGTTATTTTTTGCATTTTAATTTTAAATTCAGACAAAATATTCTGAGTGGTTTACAGAATAAAACCCAAAAGAAGTTTTGCTCAAGCACATAACTCCTAAACCTGACATTTACATGTTTACTCTATCATTTCATTCATCATAGTCTGATGGGATGGTGGCGGTGATTGTGATCCTTGTGCTTCTGGTGCTGGTGGGTTTGATTCTGCTCTGGTGGTTCTGGCCTCTCTGCTGCACTGTGGTAAACACTAGATTAACAAATCCTCTATTTTCCCGCATACATGCATGTGAAAACTTCACAAGGGCTGTTTTTCTCCTCCTTTAACAGGTTATCAGGGACCCACCACCATCTCGCCCGCCGCCTCCTCGCCCAATACCTGTAGGTTTACTGCAGCTTAAAGTATATTTGTTTAAGCTGAACTGGTGATTTATCTGGAAATGCTTGGTGTATGTTTTATAGGAGCCTGAGATTGACCCTTTGCCAAAAAAGAAATGGCCTACAGTGGATGCATCGTATTATGGTGGCAGAGGGCCTGGTGGTATTACACGTATGGAGGTAACTTGGCAGTTTGAAGGTGACATATCATGAAAATCTGACTTTTTCTGTGTTTGAAGGGTTTGGGGTGAGACAGACCAAGCTGACAGTCGGCTTTGTTAGTCTGTCAGTCAGGCTAGTTTGTTTGTTGTTTTCCACATGTTATCTCTCACCAGTTAACCTTTTCAGGTGCACTCCTTGAAAGTAATTCTTTTGGCCCACATGTTGGATTGAATAATGTATTGACAAATCTCCGATAAATAGTAATAAGCAATTAAAATAACCTATGGAAAAGGTCATTCAGGTGTTTATGATACCTGTTAAAAGGTTAATGTCAGATCGTGTTGGGCTGATTCAGCTTGTAGGATTAGTGTTGGCCATTGGCTGAAGAAAGCGCTCTGATTGGTTATTCAGCAACAAACGTATGAGTGTGATGTAAGTTACGTAGCAAGTAAACAATTCAAGCCAAGAAAGATCACAAGGAAGGTAACTAATTTCTCTACATTTGACAAATTTTTGCAAATGATATGGATTATTAGATTATCAGACATAATTGCAGGACTGAGTGACAATTAATGTGATAATAATACTGAACGCTGCTTTGTTTACATTTTGACTGTGTGCTCTATATATCCGGTTTCCCTTTGTGAAATGAGAAAACAGAGTCGTTTTGCGACACGCTGTTTAAATAGCAAATATATTTGCGCACATATTTGCAGCCATATGCATTCTAGTCTAAAAAAGGAGGTGCGTTGAGGTGCATTGCTGGCACGTTGCTATTTTGAGAAACTTAATACACTGTTTTATAGACCAGAACAAAGCTGGTACTGTATATTGTCCAGCGCAGAGCGCGTTAGTTATGCGCCTGGCTTACACATTGCTTAATACAAACATGCAATAATGGCAATTACAGCAATACGCAAATATCTTTACATATAAAAAAGAATAAAAATATTAAGGATATATAGATATATATAAATATATAAATGTAAAGGATTAAAATATTATGAAACATTATTTTCTAGCCTACATAAGTTTGTCCTGTAAATAGCAAATGGGCTATGGCCCAACGCAGCTGACTCTTAAAGGGAATGGGAGATGAAATTCTGATTTGTTTATTCTCAAAACATACCTATAACTCATTAAGAAAATAAGCTCAACCCTTTTAGACGATGCGCCACGGCCCAAAGCAGATTTTTTTGTCCTTATATTAGCAAAAGTCAATTCTGACACGCCCTTAATGTGCTTGCGCCCTGCGCTTTGCACTTTGCGCATGGATCGTCAAAATAGAGCCCTCAAGCTTCATATGCCTGCATTCTCAGAAAAAAATGGTACAATGTTGTACCAAAGAAGATACAAACCCTTTTCACTGGGGCAGTACCTTTTTATGGGACAGAATTGTACCTTAAAACAAAGAAACAAATTTGTACCATTGCAGTTTGTACCTTTAAGGACATGATTTGTACCATGGGAAACCAAAACATACCTTTGGTTTTTAAAACTATACAATACAATAATGCAAATCTGATCCCTGAAGGTACCACTACAATGACAAGACACTTTGTACCTTAACAGTGTCAAATGACAATGTTTAAAAAAAGCTAATTTTTTTGTAAATGCACCTTTTCCATTTACAATAAAGAATAAAAAAAATACTTTAACATCAATCAAAAGGTCTATTTTTGCTAAATATTTCAATGCACTTTTCACAAAAATGTTACAGAAGTACATTCTCCCATGTACAATATAAAACATTTTTCTTCAATTCTCACACAATTCCTTTGAAATTATTTAAAGGGCAATTTAATTGACTTAATTTTAAAGTAGAAAAAGAATTATGCAAAAGAATTGTAATGAGATATGCACAATGTTTGATTAGTTTTACACTATAAAATGTCTGCATGAACACTTTGCATATGCAGGAATTTTGCCAGCTCACATGCGTAGTGAAAAGCAAACACCAAATGGTGCAGGTGTAACGGAGGCCAGCTAGTAGGTGCTGTGCAGGTAAACCTCACTCCTCTGACCTTCAAAGGTGCTCTGGCGACAGATGCTAGAGGCCATGGCCTTTAGCTTCCTTGTTAGAGCAACCAACTCCCTTGCGGAAGGTTGCCGGTTCGATACCAGCTCGGAGTGGGTAGGGTGGTGTAGGACCAGCGGGGTTACACAGGTATCAATAAGGAAAATGGATTTATCAGAAATTTTTTACCAAATGTTTATTTAAAATGCCTTAAATGTTTTGTTTACAATACCTATACTTTTATGTTTTACCAGTTGTTTTGTACTATAGCACTTAATAATGAATGTTTTTGAGTTTCTTTAAACATTTGCTTTTAAATGATGATTCATGTTTTAATATAGAAATTATTCATAAAACGACTTTGCCTTTCCAGTCATTTTTATTTTCATAGATATTACAATAAATTAGTTGTTCAACGCTTATGTACCTTTTTTTATGAGAACAATTGTATACCATCATTTTAATTGTACCACAAAAGGCACAGAACAGTATCACAAGAGGTCTTTTCTGTACACTGTAAAAAATGGCCGTGATTTCAACGGTAAAAAAGTGTAAAAATGCTTCAGTACAAATCCGTAACCTAGTTAACAATATGTTTCCTTAATATATTCGGCGAAACACCGTAAATTGACTTTCCCAGAATTCCCTGCATGGCACATCACTTTTTATGCATTTGGTTGACATTATTATTTATCTTTTTAGTTGTTTCCCCATCAGTTATGTACATTAGAGATTAATGTTACATCTAATGTTGATAAACAATGTTTATTTCATGACTTTAATTTTATGCGTGTTACCATACTGGTGTTTAGTAGCTGTGTGAATGACACTAAGCACCTTCTTTATGCTGATACTCCATTCTGCTTGTGGGAAAAGTTGATTGGGATGAGCATTGGCTCACTATGTAACTTCTTCATCACCACCTGCATGTGGGTGTTCTAACGTGTCCAACTGTTTAACAAAAGATGTGTAAATGATGATAATTCAAAATACAGACATTTTACCTCTAAAAATTACTAAAATATTGTAATTTACCATAAAATTGAAAAATTACTTTTACGGTTTGTACCTTGTTTTTAACGGTAAAGTACTGGCAACCACAGCTCCCGGTTTTTTACCGTAAATTTTACAGAATTATTTTTTACAGTGTACCATATAAGCTACAACTTTTACAAAGGTACACAACTGTTCCTTAAAGAACATTATTTGTACAACTGTGTACCTTTTTTTGTGAGAGTGTGTAGTAAATGTGAAGACATTGGTAAACAAAGTCAGATTTACATTTATTAGGTGCACAAAAGGGTTCTTGGAGCTTCGTGTGAATACAGTCGAACCACTTTGATATCATTTGTAATATTTTTCATTTATGTTCTGGACTTTAAACATCTCAGATCCTTTGTTTATTTTACCACTTATGAAAAGCATAATTTATTCTTTCATTTTTCTTTGACTTAGTCGCCGATTTGTCAGGGGTCGGCACAGTGGAATGAACTGTTTCATATTATGAAAAGCATAATATGTCATCTTTAATACAAGACATATAAACAAAAAGACGATGAGCATTTGTGTGGATATACTATATGCTCTTACAACATCTTTAGGTTCGCTGGGGTGAGAAAGGCTCTACGGAGGAAGGAACGCGGTTAGCAAAAGCCAAAAATGCTGTGGTCAAAATGCCAGAGGAGGAGTTTGAGGAGCCTGTAATAACACCCCCTCCGAGACCACCACCAACATATCAGGCCCCGGTTCCAGACAAGTGGTACACTCCCATTAAAGTAAGTTTAAAGTCAACATGCTAGATGATGTATGTGTTGAACAATATGCTTTTGATAAAGCATTGTATTTTCTTGTAATTTTAATGTTTGGCATTTTTAGGGACGGTTTGATGCTGTGGCAGCATTGCTGCGAAGACAATATGACAGAGTTGCTATTATGAGACCTACAGCAAATGATAAGGTACAGTAGCCACGTTTCCATTAAAAAAAAAGTTTGCATTAGCCTATTTGCCTTATTCTGTGAAAGAAGTTAGCTCTTTCTGCAATTGTTTAAGGGCTTCTGATTCATTTGTATATGGGGGAAATGACTCTGAATAACCAACAGTAGTAAATGGTCAAACTACTGTGTTTTAAGAGTTCAAACTTAAATATTACTTGATAGTAATAGCAGGTTTGGCTCGGAGATAATTGAGCCCTGGGCTCCCGCCTGGTCAGTGAACATGAAAGGGGGTACGAGATCAGGTAGTTCTCGAGAGCTCCCCCTGGTAAAGGAGGAAAAGAGGGGGGATGGGTGGATGGGAGGGTTTCTTCAAAAAAATTAAGATAGGAGAGTAATGCTAGACAGGCTATTTATAGTGAGTTTGGAATAATCCGATTAGCTTACTAATGATTACAGATGAAAGACGTCGTATCACATGCTCCTCTTGAAATTAGTGTGTGAAACTTCACTTACGATAAAACATAAAAATTATACAGTAAGAAAAAAGTAAGCAACATCTAGCACCATAACATTCTAACAATCTTTTTACTGTCTAAAACTCAATGGAAGATTGAAACAGTTCCAATGGCTGTGCACACTTTTATGTGAGAGAATAAAATTAATTGCACCAAGTCAGAACTGCATTTGGCCTAAATAAAAAATAAAAAATCACTAAGTCAAGTCAAATTTGTGTTTAAATCATATTTTAAATTATTTTAAAATTAAAAATACATATAAATAAAGAAAGCAGTGTCTATGTGTACTGCACACTCTGATTAAAAAAATGATTACAATTCTTTTAATAAACATTATAATTGTATTAAAATTTCTGGCGCTGCACAACAAATTCTTTAAGATGAACAATTTTCAGATCAGAAAAAGTAGAGTAAAAACATATTGTTGTGGGATTCCCATAAACAATAATTAATTATAACCATTATTAACATAAATTTGCCTTGGCACTTTTATTTTTGCAGTATATATGTTGCTTTATACAACTTATGTTCTTGAAAATATTGTAATATGTAAGCTTTTTGCTTGCCAGTTTGTTTATTTCAATCACTACAAAAAATGTTTAATTATTTTTTGTTAATTATTTCATTAGCAAAAGGAGTAGTTTGATTTTATGAAAAGTTTAATCTTATGAAATTTAAAAAAAATAAAAAATAAATAAAACTGTGAAGAAAATACTTATTTTATATTTAAAAAAATATATTTTTTTTCCCAAAACCTGTCTACTGACCATTTAAAATATTCTACATAGAGAACAAATGATGCGGCATAGAAGTAGCACTCTTCCTATAAAGACAGCACTCTCAGGGCGTACTTAAATTATGTACGGTTGCCTTGAACTGGGCCAAAGCACACTTGTCCCCCCTCCCGTCTCCCCCGACAGCCCGCTCTCACATTACATTCGGGCCTGTGCACGCTTACGTCATCAATGATGCGCTGTTCAGCCCAGTAGAGATTTCTTTAGTTATATCACTGTAGTCGTTTGAAATGCAGTGACACGCAGTCAAATATTTCACCGAACAGATCTGCCACTTTTGACGCTCATAAACAATCATAAAGTCCTCGTGCTGCAGGAATTAGGAGGTTTGCTTAAGGTGGAGCTGTCGTGCAGTGAGGGGTTTGCATCTTTAATAAACTACGACATTTGCGTTCATTGAACAGTAAGAATGATTAATTAATCCATTTCAAACAGTCCCTTAGATGTCACGTCTCACTTTCAATTTCAGGCTCAGGTACGTTTTGCACTCACACACAAGTGTACCGCGCCAAAGCCCAAGTGAACTGCGCTCTGGCACACCTCTTCCAACCGGGCCAGGGCCGGCCAAGTGAACCGAGCCTGAGCCCGATTCAGAACACTCACACTAGAGGTCTGCATAAATCTCTGAATAAATCGCGGGAGCGGTCGGTAACGGGTTTAATTTGGGACGGGAGCGGGCTGTCTAGCAATATCCGTGGATATTGCTATGCGAATGAGAGAGAGAGAGAGAGAGCTTTGCCTGTGTGTGTGCTTGGTGCTTGTGTGTGTGTGTTAGTGCGCGCGCGCAAATGAGAGAGAGAGAGCTAGGGAAAAATTTTGGTCCCGCGCAGATCTCTAACTCACACTTCTCAAATGATCTGGGAAATGGGCCTGGGCACGGTTCGAATAGCATAGTGTGAGTACGCCCTTAAAGTGATAGTTCATCCAAAAATAAAAATTCTGCTCTCATTTCCTAACTTGTTCTGCACCAGTTTGAGTTTCAGTTTGAGAAACCACAGACTTCCATTTTGTTTGTTTTTCTTACTATAGATGTTAATGGTTACAGGATTCCAACAGTAAAAAATAAGTAAATGATGCGTGAACTATAGCTTTACTATATAGACATTGTATGATGGGCGATGCAGTGGCACAGTAGGTAGTACTATCGCCAAACAGCAAGAAACTCCCTAGTTCGAGCCTCAGCTGGGTCAGTTGGCATTTCTGCATGGAGTTTGCATGTTCTCCTCGTGTTTGCATGGGGTTCCTCCGTGTGGTCCGGTTTCCCCCACAGTCCAAAGACAAGTGGTACAGGTGAATTGGGTAGGCTAAATTGTCCATAGTGTATGTGTGTGGATTTTTCCCAGTGATGGGTTGCAGCTGGAAGAGCATCCGCTGCGTAAAGCATATGCTGGATAAGTTGGCGGTTCATTCCGCTATGGCGACCCCAGATTAATAAAGGGACTCAGCCGAAAAGAAAATGAATGAATTCCAGCCTTCCAGCCTCAACCACGGCGAATGAAGCTCTGCACTAGACTTTTGGCCAGCGGAGAAATTAAAATGGTCGTGCCCAACTGAGTATGGTTCTCTCAAGGTTTTTTTTTCTTCACTCCCATCAGGTGAATTTTTTTTTCCTCTCCGCTGTCGCCACTACCTGGCATGGTTCAGGATTGGTAGAGCTACGCATCGATGAATTTGCTCTTCAGTGTTTGAACTCTCAGTAATGATTAAATCACACTGAACTGAGCTAAACTGAACTGAACTGAACTCAAACACTAAAACCTGAACCACACTGTTCCAGTTACTATGACCATTTATGTGAAGCTGCTTTGACACAATCTACATTGTAAAAGCGCTATACAAATAAAGCTGAATGAATGAACATTGTATGACACTTGTCATTTTCAATAAAATGCTTTTGTTGATATTTTGTGTAAGAAACCCCAGCCGCTAAGAGCAACTTAAGCATCCTTATTAGTGGCTGCAATGCATGCTAAAGACAGTAGAAATGAGGGTCTTAAATTTGGTGCCATGACCCAGATGGGTGTGAGGTCTGGAGGGGGTGGGATTATGATGAGGTCCAGCTAGGGGAAGTTGTTTGATTTAAAAACAAACTAGTAACTGACACTGAAAACAGCGGTCTTTAGCGTCTTTATTAAAGAGCCATAAAATGCTGCATATGTAAACATCTCACTTTTAAACAGAGCCATTGTGTTGCTCGTGCAGCCACTCGAACCTCATTTTGTCCTGCTGAAAAGGCTCATTAGCACTAATAAGCTGCTCAGACGAGGCTGACAGTCCTGTCACAGACAGAGCAGATCACGCACACAAACACACTGTCTGGTCATACATCTCGTTATGGTGTTGGGTGCTCCGACTGGTCACGAGCTGACCCTCAAACACACACTCATCAGGGGAGTCGTCGCTATTATAATCATTAGATTGGCCTGACTGTCAGGGTTCAAGTTGTCATTGACGCGGCCCTCGTCTGACACTTCACCGCCAAGAGTGACCTCTCACCTCTCGCTGATTTCACTGTCACACTTAGTTTGAGCTCAACCCAACGTCCTTCTAGGGCACAATGTGAATATTGTTGAAGTGTTTGACTGTAGGCGGTGGTAGAATATTTTGGAAGTAGAGCAGATTCTTTTGCTAGAATGCCTATTTCTTAAAATAGAAGAAAATAAAAAATAAGAATATGAATATTTGGGAAACGATAATTATGGAAAATGGAGCATAAATAAATTTTCCTCAGATATCTGAAAACCATCTGTTTAATAAGACAAGTTTTGCTCAAGAGATTAGAACGTGGCTCAAAACTTGTCTTTTTAAACAGATACTTCCAGTCCTCGATTCTGAATGGTTGAGCCTTGTCACCTGTCACCTTCTAGCATTGTGTATGCTGATGTGTCTGTGCTGCAGCCACAACAGTTTCTGAGGAACTACATTATTTGGTGGAGGAATAATTTTTTATTGATAGCATTACATTTTATTTGTTCAATAATTCATTCATTTTCTTTTCGGCTTAGTCCCTTTATTAATCTGGGGTCGCCACAGCGAATGAACCGCCAACTTATCCAGCATATGTATTACGCATCGGATGCCCTTCCAGCTGCAACCCATCACTGGGAAACAGCCATACACTCTTATTTACACACACACACTCATACCCTATGGACAATTTTAGCTTACCTATTTTATTTTATTTTTATTTTTTTTTTGAAAATCTTGTCACATATATGAAACAGCTTTTTAATAAAAAGCAATAAGACCTGTAAAGCCATGGTTGTGTTCTGCTTCATGTCTAGCTTCTTAGCAGCTATAAATTCACTGTAAACCATGGGTATACAGGGCTTATTGCTTTATCACATAATTTTATTTTATTAACAATTGTATGGATTGAAATAGAAAAAAAAATTAAAAGGAAACTTTGTGTAAAATCTGAAAATGGGTTTTAAAGAGGAAGTTTGTGTAAACGCTGCCATTGTCGTGTCCATGTCTATTTAAACACCCGAAAAGGAGAGTCTTTGAAAAACTATGACATACTTTGCGCATCATACACACATTGCAAACTTCTACATAAACAGCAGTGCAGAGTCACCAACTGCAGGTCGTCACTTCCTTACAGGTACTGTTTACTAACAAGGTGACAGCACAAAATGCTGGCCTGGCTTATGTAACACAGTGTTTTTGCCTATATTGTGCAAACGTGGATCCTTTTGAAAACAATGTGGTG